TCCGCGCTGGCGCGATGAATCGACGGATTGGTTGACGGAAAAAAAGCTCGCTTTCGGGAAAGCGATCGACGCCGGGTAAAAACAGCAGGTGCCGTTGGCCGAAGGGAGTGAAGAAGAGTGCGAGGGGCAGCGGCGGGCTCCGGGGTGCGCGAAATCGGAAACGATTGTCGCTCGCGTCCGTTCGAAAAGGCATTCGGCGCCGGCAATTTGCGCGTCAGGGAAATGCATGCTTCGATGGCAGCAGCTGCGGTGCGTTATTGATACTACATTTCTCCCGATTTGACGAATTGCCGTGCCGGACTAATGGTCCGAATGCGAAGGCAAGCAGCCCCCTTCCGTCCCGACAATCGTCGTCTCTCGGCCCGCTCTCGTAAAACTATAACCCGCTATAACTCATAACTCGCCCCGCCGTGGCGGGAGGAAGAAGGCGGAGGAAGGGGAGGAGGAAAAGCCGGACCGGAGGAACGCGAGCGGGATCGGAAAGGCGAAACGGCCGAACTTATGCTCGGTTAGTCGGCATAGCTCAACGTTGGAGGTCAACGTGCTCGATACCTCCGCACGCGACTCCGACCGCATTCGCGTTCATTTCCGTTTCGCCACGGGACTCTCCCGGAGATCCCGCACGGGGTGGCAATCCTACCGCGAAACCGATTCCACTTGGGTGCGGGCTGACTTTGCGCCCAAAGTCCTTTTTTTTGCCGATTGTTAGGAGGATTGTGAGTCGCAGATTCTTCCTCGGATCGATTCGTCACGGCGCAAATTGGACGCGACTCTATCTTCCATCGCACCGCTTTCTTTTTTATTCAAAGGTGTCGAGTATCTTGACAATTAAATTTTATTTTTCGTTTCTAGAATGAAGTTGGCCCTGTTAATTGTATTATTTATAGTATATTTGTGATAAAAACATTTAATGGACCGGTAGTGATTAGCATCTTCCCTCGTTTTATAATTTGTAATTTATAATCGCTATTTTATAACATACAATTGAAAGTTTTATATTTCTTAAATTTTCTTTCGAGATTATAAGTAAAACAAAATTTAACAATATGTACACGCGGTGCCATCTGCCGCCATTGCATCGAAACGTCGGATTCATGCTTCGAAGGAACGAATGACGAGTTTATCTATTGAGAAACGTTAACCTTTGCAGAAACATGCAACGATTGATGTAACTGTAAAAGTTTATAATTATTGTTCATCCAATTAATTTATTCTTTTGAATCAAATATAACTATTAACATTATAAATATAATTTAAACAGTTGTTGAAACAACTTCGTTGTTTTTGTTATTAATCCAGGCGTCAGTGAAAAAAAGAGGGAGGAGAACAAATGAAATTTTATATAACGCACAGTGCGCGTTCTGCTAGCAGCATTCCTGGAATGATAATAGCGTCATTTAAAGTGTTCGCGTAATTAACGAAGCTAAAAACTTTTGACCCTTAATTACGTAGACCATTGTGCTCGTACAGTCCTTTCTTTTCCCCAGATGCAATGGAAACACGAATGCGCTGTACTGAAAAAAATGTCGCGCAATCTACATTTATAACGCGCGCCTTTTACGCGAGCATTTTTTTATATTATCACATAACATTTAATCGAGATACGAATTACAAGCGACAGATCTATTGTCGGTGAAATGTAAGCAATGCAGCCCGATTTAAATTTAAACTTAAATTAAAAGCTTCAACTAGTCTTGCGTATGAGCAATTATATATGTAGATTTTGAGACGCTAATCATTCATATTGATTCGAGATTGTAGATTGATTCAGTATAATTGGACAGTGCCACGCGTAAGGTGCGATGCATCAACGTATTGTAACGTACATATGTAGCGTTGTACATACCAAAAATGCGCCTATACAAAAAGCTTATAGAAGCCAGTCTAGCATCATGCTCGGTATATGATCATGCCTCCATTGTCTCTACGTTTGGTTGAGAAACGCCCATTCAACGGCTGTTTGTATGGATGAGTCCATAACGCTTACGCTTCCATGTTATTTCGGTAAATACTACCCATGGCATCCCATTGTTTCGAGAGTCGAATATTTATGTAAAACAAGCTGTTGTCAAGAGAGTAACATTCTATTACCCGCGTAGATGCAGTATATATCGCATTATCCTGCATCGTGTTTCTACGTGTTATATTATTTCATCGATTACATACGCTCGCGCGTAACATTACGACGATATGCGTCAAGCTCTTTTCTTTAAGGAACTCGTAATAGTCTTGCTGGACGTTTAAATCTCTTCTCTTCTGAGAAAAAGAAGAAATTTATTGTTTTTGTATTTTCAGACATTGAAACATTAGAAAAAATTACAATATGTATTAAACGACAAAGTCCATCTCTTCAAATCGAGCCCATTTTCTCGATGATGTCAGATTTTTCTTTTGCAAAAAAACATGCATTTTTTTTAAATTATCAGCTGCGAACAATGAAACGTCTATCTGATCGCTTACTACTACTCGGTAAGACAGTGCCTTAAAAAGGTCCACCAGATAAACGCGCTCGAAGAATTTTCGACCGGACATACTACATTTGTAAGAATACTTGAAGCGCTTCCAAAAGTTTATCTTCGCCATTATCTTTAACAACGTATTTTATGTGACTGTCACAAGGGCAGGAAGCGAAAGAATAGAAACGTATGAAATTTTACGAGATTTACTTCCCTGAAAATTACACCTTTTGATCTTTCCGAAGGTAATGCAACCGTCATAAAAGTTTAGGTCGTCGTTATTAGAGGAAAGTTCTCTATTATGAGATAGGCTCCTAATATGAGATAGCGGAGTTTCTACTGAATTAATATCATCTGTTGGTTCTCCCATGAATTTATTGTCCTTAAAATCTTCTGTTTAGTGGAAAATTGATTATCAGATCGTGTAATCGTTGCGATAAAAGATTTGCCATTGAAAACATGCTTTCTCGCATTAGAATCTTATCTTATAATAGAAGACTTTCCTCTACATGTTTTTACATACTTACCTTGAAATTTCATTAATTGAGAATTAGAAAATTTAAATAGTTATATGTTTCTTCCGGTTTTTCAGACATTCGTAATATATTTTTATAGGTGTTGTCTTGATGCTGACACACAGAGAAGTTTCATATTTTTTTTTAGGAAATGCTCATATTAAATTTTAAATTTGATATTGTATCTAATATCTTTCGCAAAATAGATTTAAGATAGTACTTAAGAAAGATACAAGATACGCCATTTGAATAAAGCAGCCAGTTTTATTTGGCATAAATATATGACGACAACTGACTTTGATTGAGAAGGCGTATACATTTATTTGCCAGTAGAACGATTGCTTGTCAAGTAAATTAACGAGCGACAAAAAGCCTAAAAGTCTACTTTAACTAACATGGGTAGGTGCCCCTCGCCGATTTACGCGATGATTTTTCTGTGTGTTAGTCCTCGATGAGGAAGAGATTTTGCGAAAGTTTGAGCGCGCGCTTCTCACGCATTTGTCTAAAATAAAAAAATATTAAAGGTTTTCCAGCAGAACACTTAAACACTTTGCGGTGTACAACACTTCTCGTGACCGCGTGACTCAGCGGGTAGCGCTCGTGTCTCGTGAGTGCGGTATCGCTGGTTCGAGTCCCCGTCGTTGATCTTTTTTTTTATAATTTTGTTTCATTTTCGGTATTCAGCATTTTAGCATTAAAAAATATTACACGGGCTTTCTATGACATTTTGTTCCATATTTTTCAAGGTGCATTGTCATCGAGTTGCAATTCTATAGAAATATATATGTATACGGGAATGAATAATTTAGGAAATATGTAAAATAATAATAATATAAATAACAAATTCACAATAATTAGTCATTGTGAGCTGAACGTTTTCTACCGTATCTATTGAGTTAGCTCGAGGCTTGCGAGAGTGGGTGGGCCTGACACGCGGTCGATTCAAGAACCGAATCGGCCGGTTGGTACCGGCACGACTGGTAGGGAGAGACGGATGCCGTGTAACAGTCGGGGCCCTTGGGGCCTCTCTAGCGACTCAAGAGGGGAGAACAGGGGGCAAAGGCACATTCCAAGGCAGAACGGCTGCCAGTGAAGGTGGAAGGCCCCAACACTCTCTCACGATATCCTACTCCGCGTCTCCTCTCCAATTTGTACGCCGTGGCCTCTACCTCGACACAACGAATGTGCGCAAATTTCTCATCGACAAATATCGACATTTTCTTGGCTTCCAAGGAGATTTGCATCCTTCATTTTCCCGCTGTGTCGCCCACGTTTTTGGAACTCGTTGGATTCTGGTGATCGCGTGTGTCTACCTGTGCACGGTGCGTAAATCGTGAACGTTTCGTCAGTTACGCGACGAGAACGTGCAGAAATTGTGCATAGTTATTGCCGTTTGTGATTTATCATGCTACTCGGTGTCATCGAGTTAAATTTTGTGAACGATAAGTGCGCACGATAATCTTTTTGCTTTTATAATTAATCGAAGAAATCGTTAAAATTTATGTAAGATAAAATTCAAGAGTGTTAGTGCTTATTTCGATATAATTCCGAATTTTATTCGAATTAATAAGTTATCACTATTATTTTCCTATTTTTAACTATTTCTGCTTTCAAACGTTCCTTTGTTTATCTGTAGTCCACGGTACAATAATTCATAAAATCAGCGTCTAATCGACATCGCTTTATTAAGAGAGGCTCTGTGTAAATAACCGATTGCTCAGCGAAATTTTCCCGTCGTCAACGAACTCCCGAGACTCTCGCATCTGTTCCACCGGCTCGTTACCCCTCTTGCTCCTCGCCGTGGGACTGCCATGGTCTCTTACGTGACGCTTCATGAAACACTGCAGCCTTGTTAGGCGTTGCATTCATTAACAATTGGGAAGGCAGAGAGAAAGAGAGCGACTTTGGGGCATCCCTCGAAAATGCGCCATCTCGGAATCGCAGAAAGCTGCTCCCAAGGGATAACGAGAAACGAGGACCGTTCGATCGCACAACGGGGCCTTGCATTGTGCGCAGATCTCCGGGCATGCGGAAGGCGGAGCGCGGTCATCGATTGAGAAACAGTGATTGAGAGAATCCGGTCGACTTGCAGGTGAGCGCAAACGACGACGATTATATTTCGATCGTGCTACAGATCACGGCAGGGCTAAGTGCAATCGTGCGATTTCGTAACGCGCGTGCGAAACGCGGGGCTTGTACCGCCGACGAAAAGGTCGTCACTTCTTCTCACGGTCTCGCAACCGCACCGGCGAGTCGTATCGCGAAGAGCGACTGGAGAAACTCTAGATTCACATAATCGATTGTCGTTCGCGGGCCGACAAATAAAAAAACTCGATGGAATTTTATTTCAAACCTTTTTATATGTTACACATATCGCGTAATATTCGCCAGATGGTGATTCTTTTATTTCGCATATGTTAAAATGCTCATCGTGAATGTTATTTTTACGGACATTTCCGTTTGGCGAGTCCCCGACTTAGTTCTGCGATCTCGAGATCACGAGGGCGTTTGATTGATTAAATTCTATCGATTAAAATGGATCAAATTTATAATTATACGAGCATCACAGCGGAATATTTTTTTGTTGTAAGAGCATGCGCGCGATTTTGTCCGAGAGCCAGCGCGACGACCGTCCAGCCAGGCTTTCCTGGATAAGCGAAATTAAATCCACGTGTCGCGGAGATATTCCCATTCTTGCCGACTACATCTCGAGATCATCGAACGACAGAAAAAAAACTTGCGGCGTCCGAGCACAAGCCATCGGCATCGAACTTGACCGTGGCCTTCGGAGTCTTTGCGCTCGTATAACGAGATACGAGGAATGTGAGCGGCCCGGAGTCACTGGCTGTACTTACGAAGACCACTTCGGACTGGTTATAGCAGCTAGATGTCCGATATCGCATGAACTGGACGTGATGTTGGCGCGTAATTAATTTCGCAAAGCAAACTCTTTTGCGCACTTGTTAATTTCTACTCAACTTTTCGTGCAGACGAGCAATACGAATTAATTTCAGTCTCGAGTAATATATAATGTATGTCTAACTTTGATTACGATCCTATGGTTATTAAAATGACCAAATCTTAGCAAATGGAAATCTAACAATGTTAATTACACCTTTTTGTCTATTTCGATTATTAATATTTCTTAAATGTACCCCGAATATTATGCTTCTTTTAAATACAAATAGTTTATTAAAATTGTTGTAAATTGAGAATCTATTGTAGATAACTATTTGTAATAATTTCATTTAATTCGTTTATTAAAATTGCAGTCAGATGTTTTCTCATCTGATGTTTTCTTTCGGTATAACAAACTTACGATTGAGAAATCCGTAACAATTCTTAACGAGATAAACGCGTAATAAAACGCTTCAGTGCCTTCTTGAAGTCTTCACACAATGCTCAGTCGTAAAAGACCACCCCTCTTTTGAAAAGTCACGGCGAACCACTAAAGCCTTTTCAAAGATGTTTATTCAAGTTCGGGGAAAGTCATTGGAAAAGTTTTAACGACGAGTGGTGATAAAGTTTCGCCAGCTTCCGCATCCGACACGGCGCCGTCCGTGGCTCGTCATAATTTAGAGATTTGTCAGTTTCATTAACTAATTTTTGCTAGTAAAAATCTTTTCTATCGTTTTAAAAGTTTTTTCCCTATTATTTTATATTCAGAGAACCTTCATATCAGAATTGGGAATATTTGATGTGTGTCCTAAATTTATTTTAAAATAAATTAACTAATGTTGACTGTTTAATACAGGTTCCAATATTTTCTCTAACGTTCTTAGCCAATTAAAAATTATATATTATATTGTTCAAGAGATCTTTTTAAAACAGTGTGATTTCTTTCTTTATGCCACGCCGATAGAGGTGCATGTCGAATGGTAAAACTAGATTACTGTTATTTAGTAACGGCTCACGTTTTTATTCGATTGCAAATGAACGCAATTCATTACTGTCATACACGCGATAGCTCGAGACAAGGGTTGGCAGAAACGGCGTTGACATACCGGCCGTCTAGATCAGGATCGATGCGTCGAACGATTCACGAGTGCGCGGTGACCGGTATTCCATGTATCGCGACGAGTGGTGGTGCGTTTTGATGTCCCGCATCGTTGCACTTGATAAATCGTTGTATATTACGAAACAGCGGGAGCTACTGCGAGCAACATATAAAAACACAGAACGACTGGGAAGATCCGTCTAGCGAGCACTTTGTTTCACATCTTCTCTTATACATTATGCTACTGACCGATACACTTGTAATTTCTTTGTTATTTCTCAAGGAGAAGTAAGAAGCTATTTACTTTACAAAGTCAACTAGTTTCCAGAATTTCTTTTCTTGTCTACAAAGTGAGAATTTAATCAAAGTGTGTTTTATAAAATTATTTTTATAATTAAGTCACGGGGAGATTTGATTCCACGTTAATGGAATTGGAAGAAGCCGTTAAAGAACGCACGGATGAATGAGAATAAGTAAATTTTCTCAAAAGTTGTGTCGCGTATTCAAAGACGATTCATTGTTAGAATTGTTTACAATGAAGCAACATTTGAACACAGATTGTGAATTTACATCTTACAAAATCAAACTACATGTTTTTTTTCGTACGTTATTTCATTTTAGATGTTAAAATGTCTCAACCAGAATTGATGAGCGATTTGGACGTGCCCGAAAATCCGCAGCATCCCTGTCAGTGTTCCACAATCAACAATATGGACCCCATGAGGACACCGAGGGACAGAATGGAAAGGAATATGAATAGCACCAGGATCTCCAATAGTTCGGATCTCCCACGAAATCTAGAGACCTTACAGAACGTTTTCGAGCCGGTACGAAGATTGGAGAGCCCCCATCAAGATAAATCGCAGATCAGTCTGGATAATACTAGGAACGTCGACCTCCTGGAACATCAAGCGAACATATCATCTAATTCAAGATCCATGAATAGTCAGAATTCGTTGCTGTCTCTTCACGGGCACAATCTCTCGTGTAGTCCTCGTAACTTGGATTTATCGCGCAATCTGGCTTTCGAGGCGGCTCGAAGAGTTCAGGAAAGTTCGACCCTGCAAGACAACCAGCACAGTTTGACCTCGAGTCCTAGTCCCTTGCTGGAGACGGGGCCGAATTTACTTGAGACTACCGGCAAAGAATTAGATAAGCAGTTGGAAGATCACGCCGGCCTGTCGCCGCAGAAGCAGAGCGCCAACAAGGAGAAGCTGAAGAATGTGCAGCAGGTGTTGAATCCTTACCAGCACCATCATGAGACGGTGGAGCGCGGAGTACACGGACACTTTCACGGCGACATACACAGCCACATTCACAAGCACGCCGACAACTTCAGGAACGCGAATCTGGACGAAGGCTTGATGGGCTTTCAGCAACACCAGCGACAGCACACGCATCATCATCATAGTAACGCAAAGACAAATGTTACTCATCATCACGGATCCGGGGTACATCACACACACGCGCAAGGAATAGCCGGGCACCATCATGGAAATCTGGCAACTAGTCTCACCAGCCATGTCCATGGAAATTCTGGTCCTCTGAGCGGATCCGGTTTGTATCTCCCGTTCTCACGATCTTCGCGTATTAATTATTATAGCATATTAATGAGTCGGCTGTTGCGTCGTTCCAGGTTCCATGAATCAAACTAGCTCTGCCACCTCTATCGGACACCATCATCCAACGGCGATGCCTATCGCGGCGACGATGAACCACCTGAACTCCCCCCACAGTCATCATCGGCTCAACGCCGGCTCCAGCTTGGCCCACCATTCAAATCCTGCCTTTCCCAGCGATCATCACGGCGCTTCGGGTGCCCTGAGCGGCGCGTCGTCGAATTCGAGTATGATGAACCACGGTGGTTCGCCCACGGTGCACCGGCACGTGGTCAACGTCAACGGCAGCTTATCGACGACGCCACTGGGTGGTCACCATCACGGCAGCTCGTCGGGCAGTTTAACTGGCCATTCCAGCGTGAACCATCACCACGTCAGCTCCGGCATATCGTGCGAGTCCTCGTCGTCGAACGCTAACACTAGGACGCACAGCAGGTTGGATCACGTCCACGATCATCATCATCACCTGCAATCGGTGCATTCGTTACACGCGAGTCATCCCGATACCAGGTCGAGAGATCGGGCGCCCTCGAGCTTGGATCATCACGGACATCTCCACGGTCATTTGCACAATCACGGCCACCCGCATGGGCAGAGCGACACTAAAAACGCGTCTCTTATGGGCATCGACGCCATTCAGGTATGCAAATCCGGATTATTATGATTTACTTCACATAGAAAAAAAATGAAGCCAAGTTTTCACGATTAGCTCGCGGAGACGCTACACAATTTTTCCTCTCTCCCCCCAGTGTCTCTTATATAATCGTAAAAGGGCCGTTTCAAGAAATTAATTAGATCTAGCGTGATTGCACTTCCATAAATTTTCTTCGTACTTGGCCAAATGAGGAGAATGACTTATGCCACCGTTCCGCCCAGCGGCTCGTATATTCCTAGCCGTTTTTGCTGCCGCATCTGAGAAAATACATGTTCGTGAATCGCCATATCTCTATCCGCGCACGCTTGAGTTACGTTCGCCGTGTCCTGGCCACGCGAGAAGCTATAAATCGTGTACTAAGCAACGGCTCTGCCCTTAGAGCTTATATCAGGAAATATTTTTAGCCGAGGGCCAAATGCGCAGCGCGCGCACACGAATGATTAATGATCGGTGCCCGTTGCAGAGATATTCGAATTTCGCCGCGAGTGCGACAAAAAACATTTTATCGGACATTCTTTACCCATAGGAGTTGATAACAAAGGGTTCGATGGATCACTAATAATCATACGATTCGCACATTGCTCGAATTTACTGACTACGACGTTCGAGAGTTAGGTAGTTAATAATCGAGAAAGAAGAGCGTGGCACCGTATATAATATCTTTCCTCATAACACATGCACACAATGGATTTTTACTGCTCGTAAAAGTTAATTTTTTTTATACCGCTCTTAATATTTATTAACGACTTATCCTTAATACTCTTAACGATCCGATAACGATACATTTCGATGTAGATTGTAGATCAATGCAAGCCTTTATTAGTCGTTGCAGACTTAACGACATGACGCTATTATCACAGCTCGTTAAATATCACTCGTGCATAAGCTTTTCCATCGAATGGTTTCTTCCATTCTATTTTGTCTGATGATCATCGTTGAGCTGTCTTGATGTGGTTTTACGCATTTGAACGTTGTAGGTTTCCGCCCCGACGAAGAACAAGTGTCAATGTCACGTGATGCATTCCGGAGGAAACAACGGAGGAACCGAGGGCGAGAGTGACGGAGGGATCGAAATGGCATCACGAACTCATCAACCTCCCGCACTTCCGCCGCGTCCACCACCGAGACCGACGAGACGTTACGAGACGACCACCACCAGCCAATGTAAGTAACTTATTTCTGTTCCATTTGTATACACGGAGATAATTTTCTCTTAAAATTTAGCCTGAAAATCATGCAATCGTGGGACAACATGACATTTTGAAGAACTTTACAAGAGCCTTTTTATACGTTATCATACCTTTTACTAGTAAAATGTATAGTAAAATTTCAAAAAAATTGTCATTTCTCAAAGTGTCACGTTGTCCCACGGTTACATAATTTTCAGGGTAAATTTTAAGAGGAAATTCCCTCCGTGTGAGTTTTATTTATGGTTGCAATTAACAGATAAGAAGGTACCGGCAAAAATGTATTAAACTCATTTGTACGTTAAACACGTTTCGCAATTATTGCTTAATTCCATTGCGGCTAGGTGTTTCGTAAAATCTCGGAATATAACAATGAGCCTTATTGAGTGATTTATAATATTATCAGAGTCATATTCGGTGTAGGTTCGATATTAATGCGTGCACAATATTTCCCGTACTTGTACGTCGGCAGGAATAGTCGATTCGCGATATGGGTGACATTAACGGCTACTCCATATAACTTAATTTCCATTGGAGATTGAAGTGTCAGGCAGTCGTTGAAACGTCGGACGGCGTTTCCTGAAAATTCACCAAACGATCTCGTCGTCGGCTGGTGGTAGCTCCATCCTATGTCGGACGGTTTCACGATTGTCCCGACAATTGCACTATCAGCCGGATGAGGAGACGACGACGTTGGCGCGCGCGCGCCTTATCAGGCGCGGGTGCGCGTTATCGACGACCACGCGTTAGGTTTCTACCCCGTTCGCTCGGGGAATTGCATCCCTGCATTCCCGCAGAATTGCAACCCCCAACCGCGCCGGGTCGCTCGAATCATCCGGGGGTATATCGACCAGTCGATGCTTGCACCAACCGAGAGTAGGACGATCCTCCCCCGTCGAGGGATGCGAGCGACTTGAAAGCGGACCGATGATACGACAACCACCGCGTTAACGCGACGTGGCGTTTACGTGTTAAGCGTGCAATTGCTTCCCGTTCACTCACGTGAAAAAGAAGCTCCCCGTTTCATCCGGATCTTGTGTGAACTTGACAAATACCACGGCGGCCGCCACCTGTGGGACACATCACAACGTGTCCGCCGCCGACGACTGTGAATTCTCCCGAGTGCACGATCGTCGATACGAGAGCGGATTTTCGTGTCTTAAAAGGAACGGACGGTGGAGATCGACAGGGTGACGACCGGACCGTATTCGGTTTACCGCGTGTTCGTGTGCGAAACTTAGTATCCAATGGCGATGCAATTGAGTATGCAGAAGTCGACGTTAGTAATGATTTCCGATGACGATTATTGAAAGTGAGTTGGCCCAGTCGGAAATGCACGACGAACAGGTGACCTTGGAAAATGGAGAACTCCCATGGTTGACACGTGACCCATGTAGAATGTCGCACACGTATGGCCGAATGACGGCAATGGGACACTTGTTATGTCGAACAATGCTTCTATAAATATTGAGCGGTTGCTTGTAACATCAATTAATTATACGATAATTAGCAATCTTTGTTGAATAATGAAAGACAATCGCCGCATATAATACTGTAACTACTATTTTACGCGTTATTATTATTTTCTTTAATTATGCATTACTCGTTTGATTTGTACGATTTAATTATATCATGTTAGAAAAAACTTGCAGTGCATGACAAATATTTTATAAAGTAATTAACTAGTCAACATTGATGAGCATCAATTAATACAATTCTGAAAATTGACACTATAGTGACATAAAATTAATTCAATTCCAAATTCAGTTCTGAACGATTCAAAGCAATATATAATTCATTCCCGTTCGTCCTATTTTTATTTTCTATAAAATCAATGAAAATAAATGAGCAATTCTATTCTATCTAGCCAAAACTATTCGATGCAGTGGCAAGGTTAAATTGTCGGCGTCGCCATGTGACGGCAAGTGATAAAAACGCAGGAATGAACCCGCGGGATTGTTGAAGATTGTCGTGAGCTGACGCAAAGCGACCCGAGGAAGATGGATGGCTATCCGGTGCTCCAAATAGTGCGTTGCCGCCTCGGAACGGAAATGCAGATGGACAACCAGTGCTGTCCGTTGCCGGTGATGGCACACTCGCACTCGCACTTGCCGCATCCGGCGAATCACGCGCACTTCCCGAGGCCGCATTATCCGCAACCCCGTGGTACGCGCCGACAAGACCCCTTTCGCTTATCAGCCACCCCTTTTTGCGCTCCCTTTGTGCACTCGTGTGCACGCTTATTAATAGGCACCTCGTGACGCTGTCTTAAGGCAAGGTCAAAGGTTGTGGCGCCTCGCTCTTTCAACGCACCCGTGAGGCGCTGGATTTTTACAATATATTTTAAGACTGATAATTTAAAATAACTAAGTCATCAATCTACGATACATTTTGTTGGAAGTTAGTTGCAGTTAATAAACTTTAAACGATGTCTTTCTATAATTTCTTTTTATCGAAGAAAGAATGGCTGATTGCGTGTCTTATCTAGGGTATGCGATGGAATAATTTGAGACAGCCTCTGATATCAAACTTCGTTTCTGTCTGTACCTTCTTACCATTAGACAAACGTCAGACTGCAAATTTTCTGAACGATTATTACTGATATATATACAGTGTCCTAAAATTCGCGAATCAAAATAGCATAGCAAGAAAGTCGTCGAAAAAATAAATTAAAAAGTTATTTACCATTTTTCGTTCCGAGCAGTAGTTTTTTTTAGATAAAAAGGTTCAAAACAGGCCAATCATACATTACGGTTGAATGGAAACCTGTCCGTGATGTTAATGCACTAACACTATCGACGCGCGACTCACGGACAGGTTTCCATTCAACCGTAATGTATGATTGGCCTGTTTTGAACCTTTTTATCTAAAAAAAAACTACTGCTCGGAACGAAAAATGGTAAATAACTTTTTAATTTATTTTTTCGGCGACTTTCTTGCTATGGTATTTTGATTCGCGAATTTCAGGACACCCTGTATATTACTAGGCCGAATATTAGTAGTACGAGTTGTCGATATATTGACTATTTGTGCCGTACATGAAATATTTTTAGCTGTATGGCACTGATAGGAATATTTACAATTTTTCAGATCGTTGCATATTTGTATGACGCCGACTTAAAGAAGTGGCACGAGATTGAATCTTTTGTTCCGTTTCTATATTTGCGCTAGCTACAAAGAATTTCAGATATTCCGTTATACACGTAACATTTGTAGCTTTACAATCTCGCACACAAAGATCAAAATTACCCAAAACAAACACGAAATATTTCGTTCCCGACCAATTTGGAGCGGAATTTTTCTCGGACGTAAATATTAGGCAGGTAGTAGGCGTGCTGTGACAGGTCAAAGGCTAGAAATTGTATTACGCCCACGGAAAACCGCAGAGCTCATCAATTTCCCAACCGTGGGTATTCTAGAAAGTGGAATGTGCGTACATTTCGACGTCAATGTTACCGATTTCTCATCATTCTTCTCGGAAACGTGAAAACGGTGGATTCACCCTCCGGAGAATCCAAGAGCAGTTTTCTTAAAAGGAACCATCGGACTTTTTCCCTCCCTAAGAATTTCCACTCCGTAAATTTTATATCCCGCCTTTTTGAACGGTAGATTAGGATCAGAGACGCATCACGCTCCATGCATTTCTTAAAGATATTTTTGTCGCAACCCCTGCTTGGAGAAAACATACAGCGAATCTCTCCCCGGATCTCAAACCGTCTTTTCATTGGACTTTTATCTCGGAAGATTCTTTCAAATTTTACCCGATACATTTTCCGCTGAAAGCAAATGTAAATTTTTGACAAACATGATTTCTGCTGTTTGTAGAAACATTTTACGGCTACATTTTTAACTGCGCTCGCGCTCAAATATTTCCGTATTTAATCTTCAAACATTTTTCGTTCGTGAACGACACACCCGATCGAGAAAAAAATCCGAGAGAGCCCTTCTGAAACTGGGAATATTAGCACATTGTCTTCAGAGCTGCGCGGTATATTGACGCTTGAGAATTTATTGAGAGAGAACTTGCAACTACGGTCGGCGCACTGGACTCAATAGGAACCTTTGACAATGGAAGTCGAACCCGGATGCCGTCAAACGGAGTAACACAGCTGCGTTGAACGTTACAAAAGCAGCGTCGTAGGCATTCCCCAACGTGGCCGCGATAGAAACGGAAATACAATTGGCGGTTTCTGAGTTTTCACGAGATAGGCGACGATTGAAATTTATTCGTCCAATATTTTTGGACGAGCAAATCGCAGCGCCACGTATCGGTTCGATTCAGATTATTCTCCCCTTCACTCCCTTTCAATTAGTTCGCAAGATTTAGCATTTTTGCGATTGTAATCATCTGTCATGTGTCCGCAACGGTCTATCCGATGGCCCTAAATGCTGTCCTTGGAGCAACTATCGACCTTTCCGAGAGAAATCCCAGTAGGAGTGACCGTGCTGGATCCTCGGTTAGCGGGATAATGATTGTCCTCGCGTGAGAACCTAACAGCCGTAGTCCTGATCTGGTCACAATGAGAAACGTGCCGCGAGCGAAATTCCTCGAATATCCGTAGACGGCGATTACCCTGAAACTCACGTTGATATTCGCGTTTCGATAATGCACCGTCGGCGGGACCAAAATTAACTGCAGCCTTGACATCACGCGGACTTACGATCCGCGTCATCGATAGCCAAGTGCTCCTCGCGAGGCATTTAATTTTTATATCTAGAACTGGACAGGACCTTTGCCGCGAAGCGAATTTAGCGAATCGAAGGTACCTTGTAAACTGTGCGAAGATTAATTCGCTCTTAAAAGACAGTCCGACCGATGAATTCTCGGGAAGAAAGTCGCGACGATCGAGCGGGCCTGCAAATTGATTTAGATGGCCGTAATCTTGCGCTCGTTATCAAGATATCGGCATCCCGTGCACGCGCGGGGCTTTTTACTGGTGCGATTAGAATTTCATGGATCGGTTTTGCAGGTCACACCGGCGAAGGTGGCTGCTGCAAGAAGTACGTCGTCCTCTGCTACCTCTGCGGCGGATTGAGTGCGGCGGTCGGCAGCCTTTTTTTGGCGGTGCACGCGGTCCTCTCGGCCCACACGGACAGTCTAGCGCTCTTCGAAACCGTGCCGTCTTACATTCCTGGTATTATGGTGAGAGGCAAAAATCAATCGGTCGTATTGCCAAATGCGTCTTGGCGTGCCAATATCCATTCTGATGGTTGTATGCAAAAACACTAATGTATCGAGCTGCGGCATCGAGTGAATTAACAACAACGCACGGCAAAGTTCTTTTAATTTCACGAGTGCTTTCGCACGGCGAATACGCAATGCGTAATAATTGCTTTATTCCGTTCAATTGCCACGTGGACAGTAATACACGAAGATCGCACGCGCGAATTTAATAGCGAATAATAAATTTGCCGTTTCAGCTGATCCTGATGGGTTTCTTCACAATGCTGCTAGCTAGACGAAAGCACAGATACGGACTTCTGGTAAGTCTCGCCGCGTAAACTTTTCGTCCCCGCGGGGGAGAGCCGTCATTGCCGCTGACAGTTCTGCTATTAAACTGGGTTTATAACTTTTGCAGATGAAAGTCTGCGGTTCCGTGGGAGTGGTGTGCGCGCTGGTATGCGTACTCGTCACCGTCACGACTACGGTAGTTCACATGTCCCGATTGCAGAATCTCCGCGAGTGCGTTTACACTGCGCGCGCGAGGTACGTGTATATCCCTCTCTCGTTTATATATCCCAGAAGAGATTACGATCGTAAAGTGGCAAAGCGCGCCTCGGTGTCATTACGAAACAGCCGTATAGTTTGTGAAGGGAGTAATGTCTCGTATTATTATGAAAATTTAATCCCTCCGGTACGCACAGCGAAAGTCTCTCTCGCGGAAGTGTCGGATAGCGAGATAAATCTTTCTTCATTTACTCAAATGCCCTGAAAATGTCACGCGGGAGTATCGATCATTTTCCAATCGTAAACAAATGTCGCACGAACGTTAATTTGAAGCCTCCGTGTGATGATGGTTCGTACAGATCGTGCACGTGTTACGGCGCACCGGCATCGAAGGGAGATCCCGGTGTGCTGTTCGAGGGAACGCCTCACTGCGAGGCTGTGCACGGCGCGTTGTCGGACTGCCTGAGGGCCCTCTTCGGCGTCTCGGTCGCCGGTATACTGGCCTGCATATTCTCGTGCATGCTCGTGTACCAATTGCTGAGCCACGAAAAGAAGAAGATGTACTGGGAGCAGTTGGAGCTGAGATGCAGATCGCTGTACGGCCAGGGCGCCGCCGTGGGACCGTCGGCCGGGTCCTGCGGATGCTGCAACGATTGCGGGGGTGCGAACCCGTGGTGGGCCCAGACACCCGGCAATTTATACACCCCGAATCCTGATATGGCGCCGTCCCGGTAAGTAAAATAGTACACTGACAAAAATGTCCGATTAAATGTAATCGGATAATCCAATTACACAATAGCAATTACAATCAAACAAAATGCGGCCACATTAAAGCTATATTCAATAAATCTAATAGGTTTTTGACTCGATATCAATATTCGATAATAACGATTGCTGCGTGTATTTAATGGAACTGATAGGCTTCATAAAAAAAAACAGTTAAGTGCAATAACTATTTAAAATTAAACCAACTAATGCATTCCCGTTTCTGCATTGTGTTCTGACAATTCGTTAATATATACTATTGATTAAAACGGCATTTCTCTCGGCTTTCGATATTTACAAAAAGATTTTCCAAGTCTCGGGTATGCATTGCGAACGACGCGCCCTTTGAAGTCTACTTTTATTCGCAAAAGGCACGAACTGGCAATAAAACGCGCAGCCACGCACGTCAATTGGTTTTAAAGTACACCAGTACAGAGGCACGACTCAGTCAGTAGATATTTCTCTGAACACTGTATCCAACGAGATACCAGTCTGGTCTGGCATCGATCCCGGGAGTTCCGCAAAAGGAAGGATAAAAGAAGATTATATTTGTATTGTGCACATACACGATTCTCAAATCAGTTCGCGGGCCGTCAAAACTGTTGAAGAACAATATTTCGTAGTAAATACGATAAGACGATACTTTCATCGATGCAATATATGAATAATTTATTTTTACGATAAAAATATACAAAAGTTTTCCAGAAAACGAAATCTTAAAACGTATTGGGAAACATCGCAAATATTTTCCTTCAATTTTAGTTAGGTGATTCAAAATCGATAGGAACCAAGAATGCCTAAAATACTACATCTTATAAAATAATAATTTACTGTACTTCACTTTCCAATTGTTTCCACAGAGATAAAAAAAGTTAATAAAAATGATTGATATGTGTAATGTCTAAATGTATTTAAAATGTGAAATAAATTTGGACAAAGGTTGTTTTTAGAAATACAAGAGAATCTATAAATTTGCTATTAACATATTGTCTTTCTTCCCTAGGAGATGGCGATTACCTTGGTCGAGATCGAGAGGTCCAGCACCGAGCCCAGATTCGAATTACGGCTTTCACACGCAAACACGACCAACGGAAACCAATGTGGAGAGCGGAACCGGCCCCTACAGTGTCTTTAACTCGCAGTCGAGTGGTCCTTACTCCGTTTTAAATGCTCCGAATGCCCCATACACACCGAGCACCGCGTCCTACAGTGTTTTGGAAACTCCAGTGCCATTGTGGGGACCGCCACCTCCGTACAGCGATCCTAACAGTCCCGCCAGACGACCGCAAATGACCGAATCGAGAGCCAGAATTGCCAAGAGAATGGATAACTTCGAAAATAACGAAGGTAAAATGTCAATTGGGACAAGCGCTTTTTAACAAGAGCTAAACAATTAATTGTTAAAATAATATTATCAATTAAGAATGAATGTAATTAATTAAGAAAAACAAAACACACATATACATAACAAATTGACAATTTAGTAATTTTTAAATAATGAATATTAGAAATTCAGCTTTTTTGCTTTTTTTCCCCCGAAATTAGATCATAGATCGAGACCTGCGAAACGTCCTTCTGATAATTATGAGAATGCCGAGGAGATCTCTAACAGCACGGATCCTGAGGGCGGGAACGAGGGGACCATCAAAGGTAGGAGAGTCAGGAAACCTTTGAAAGGCGTGGAAAATGGGGCATTTCAACAAGAAGCAAATCCCGGCTCGAAACAGTCCGAGAGCGAACTATATTTCGGTGACGTGTCATCGTGCTGCGGACCCGAGAGTAGTTATTACGATCTAGCTGTGGAAAAAGAAGGTACATATTAAAATTCTACTTCACGACTGTGTAATATTTCTTGTCGTAAAAATTCTATGAGACTTATTAATCACATTTATCCAGCTGGAGATGAATGTCTCTTTTTATAATGAAATTTTAAATGTATAATCACGAATATATCGTCTTTCATTATCGAATGTTTTTACGCAGGAATATTCTTATTCGCAGAAAAATCCTGGATTTAACTTGAAGAATTATTTATTTCTAAATTATTCATTTCCAAGGTAAAAACATTTCCTACGATATATTTTTGCATGTTTGGTAGTCTTGCATTTTTTACAGGTGCCGAACGTTCGGAAGATGTAGACTATCTTACGACCAGGCTAAACAAGCGTCAACTGTCGAAGAGATCTCGATTGCCTCTTCCTTTGCCTGCGGACAACGGCAACATTCCTTGTGACAATTATGCGAACAGCGACGAGCCGAGAAGTGCGAGGGGTCCATTCCTCGCTCCCGACGCTCAATACGAGGTGATTCAACAAGGTCGTTACTCCTATTACGGGTCGAAGGATGACGAGGAGCTGCAGGAGGGTCCGACGAGTTCCAATTACTTCCGGGAGGACGAGAATGAGAGGGGAGGACGTGAAAGGGATTATAGGGATTACAGAAATAGTCAGGAAGAGGAAACTCCACAGTGTTGTTTGAGCGATTCAACGACTCTGGATTCTGGTTGGCAAAGCGGAGAACAACAGCAATCCGATGATAATGTTCGGCCGGTGAACGTGTGATCTTAGACTCGTAAGATTATTAGCGAAAACGACGTGGGTGACGAGCGACCATCGATTTTGTGCGGGAAAATGTTACACGAAAACAATTAAATCTAAATAACGAAGAAAAATGCGCGACAATAGTTTCTGATCTGTGAATAATTTAGATCGATCGTATGTACTTCTTAGCTAAACAAAGCGAGTGATTGAAATGATTGGGATCTAACTCTTTGAACTTAATTGACGGATAGAGAACATGGCGATAATGTTTGAGCAGATAAGGTCCTAGTCGCATTAGTAGGTTCGCTTTTAAAAAGCGTAGCTGAACTTAATTAAACTTGATGCACTAAATTTAAATAATGCAGTGTGAACCTTGGAATATAGTCCGCGCATCAAGTTATCGTATCGATTTCTCTCCCGAAACAAGAAGAATTGCTAACGGAGCTAATTTAAAGACAGTATTTCGCATCTTTAAATAAATTAAGCATTCATGAATGTGACGCACGACAAATTTCGTTTCCGTAAATAGCAGTTATTTAATAGCTATTAATTTTATCTTCGATATTTATCCATTAAACGACTATACATATTCTTATTTCTTCGTATTAACACAAATCTTTTTAATTCGACGTCATTTACGCGATTGATGACGAATTGTATCGATGCCATAGACAGCACAAGATTAATGAACAGACTTTAGTGATAATTTGTAGTAATAAAAATTATAATAACGTAAAACACAAGCGCTAATCTCGATTTGGGCGAGAAAGGACTACCATTAATTCCTCTCGTAAGAAGCTTGCCAGTTTAATATAATCTATACGTATAAATTTTTTTTAAATTGAAGAGTAGACGCGATGCAAGTAGAATACGATCAAGTGATAATTTATATTAATCCTCGATAAAATGAAGTGATGTGAACAATTAAAGCTTGTGCCGCATTGAAGGTGCAGGTGAAGATTCATTGTGTTCAGCATTAGTTGTGCATCAACGATCATGACGGATGGAGTGAATTTAAAGCAACTTGATCATTTATAACATGATCAACTGTTAATCACGTAGGACGAATTCGCGGCAAATTCTGTGTATTTTTGCTAATTGCAATGTTGCTCGTGTTGCTCGTGTTGCTCGCAGTAATAAATAATATTATTGAGTGTTAAGTATAACCGAAAAATTATTTACGATGTGAGAACGAATGAGGACGGAGTGAGAGGGAATGAATGGAAGAATATTAGTTTTATAATACGGATTTGTTTATTAAAAATATATATATTCATCGAACGTATGATTACTTTACTAGAAAGACGTTTGCCTTATTAGTTATTCATTTATTATTTTGTATTATTTATTGCATTTGTCTTGGCAATATTGTATTTTTACCTGACGTTCTCCTAAAACTCTTTTATCCATTGTATTATACATTGGAATTAGAATTGTCAGTCTACAATTGTTTTTTTTTTTTGGTTAGATATGCGATAGATACCATGTACAAAAGTGCTTTACTCTTGCCATTACGTGTTAGCTGTAATTCTTAAATGATCACTGACTATCTTTGAGACATTAACAATCGAACATGTTCGTAACCATAAGAAATATATTCATGATAAGAGTTTAAATTTTTTTGCATTTAAAAAATCGTCTTATTGTCATTCATAATTCGGATTTATTTCTTAAAATCTTATATGCGCGACTGAAACGTTTCATTCCATGCTTTTCTATCAATTCACAATTTTATGCAAATCTTTTATACGATGATCGTTTGTTATCAATGCTTATTGATGAATGACTTCTTAAAATATTGCGCCGTTACGGTAGCGAGCACTCGCTTTCAGAATCACAATTCAGGTGGACCAAGGACAATATAGAGAGATCAATCAAACTAATTAGCGATTAGAATACTCGTCGGTTGTCTATTTTCGTTATCGGCCGCTCGAGATATAAAGGTGAATAAAATGCATATTTTATCATTCGGAAGCGACATAGTCAGATTGTAGCGCATGTAGCTTAATGCCATTTAAGTGAATAAAGTGTACCTTAAGGGCGAGCCGCGAGTCGTAGTAAGTCCGATGCGCCATCGAACAATGTACTTGACAATGATTAAGGAATAAAGAATGATTTTGTGAAGCACGCTGCGCGCAATACGATGTGAGCCTCTCCTTAAACCGCGGTTTGTTCTTCACATTGTCACACAAATTATTCGATATGTGATTGATGTGATAAGCCAAGGCAGAAATCCCATTGCATGCTAAGCGTACGTGTAAATCATATGACAGAAATAATAATATTTATCTCGGAGTAGGTTTTCTCGTAATATTTGCCGCAAATACAATATCTCTTTTGTAACTTATTTAAATTTATGCAGTGCGAAAGCCGGCGAGCGCGAATGCAATTTCGTGTACGCGGATAAACGAAAAGAATGTGGCTTCTGAGGTGGTGTTGCTAGTGTAACGTACATAGTTTCCTTAACGAATTCCGGTAGCCTCGTTGGCCGATATCGGATTGTTTAATATGTCGTAACAGGTCATTACACTCTCACAATGTGTATATAAATGAAAACGACGCGTGGCACGTAATGAAAGAACATAATGGACTAAACAATGTAGGAGATTAATAATTGACATAACTGGCAAATTAAAATTTAAGATGCGATTTTTTAACTGTGAGACGCGCAGTGTTTACGAGTTGAAAATTACATTCCTTAGGAAATGTTGCAGTCTTATTAACACATCGCGTAATCAGCGTGCATACGTTAATTAATCAACTTCATTACTAAAACTATTGTCAGATAAACTGCCAAGATAAACGAGATATATTTAATACTAATATTAATTACTTTTCCACTATTAAACAAATGACTAAAGTTTCCTTTACGTGAGAATAAAATGTAACTTGGTATCGCATCGCAAGTCGTACGAAATTTCGTAGAACTTCCGGAGCTAAAAGTGTTCTATAGACATCGTCACAGGTTGTTAAGCAGTAACGTATACGAGATTTATATCACGCACTGCATGTCAAATGTTTTTGTACCGTACGATGGAGCGCTTAATTAATCAGACGAGTACATCCGTACGAAATTCAATAAATAACGTTGCGATTATCGTGGATAAATGTGGAGCGACGACGGCTTTAAATAATTAGCTTATGTAAATAGTTCAGCTTCTGTAAGTAAATGGCAGTTAACTGTTCTCGATCGAAAACCCAGTTGGAAAGTATTTACAGAACACGTAGTCAATTGCTTTCATCCGGTTGCAGTACGATTTAATATGTTAATTAACCGACCTTTAACTGTGAGAAAATTTACTTTTAACACAGACGACAGTCCGATATAATAAATAGTAATAAACATAATTATTATCTCGTATGCTCGTTGTTGAAACGTTTCTAATCAACTTTATATTTGAACACGAATCGACACATTCTTATCAAACATATTAATGCAAGTTTGTTATTTCAGTACAAGGTGCGACAAGTAGAAGTTATATTATAATTATTCTACCTTTTCTATTTCTACCATTAGAATTAAAATGTATGTACATCTGCGTCATAAAAGAAATAAGTAAACGTAATAACAAGGTGTACAGTAGAAAAGAAACTGAGATCGATACAATATTATTGTATTATCTATCGTATTATATAAATTAATAATTTCAGGAATATCCAATAAAAATAATATTATAAGACATGTTTAGATTCTAAAGTAATAAATTACATTAATATTTTGTGAAAGAGAGATTGATAATGATAGGAAATTTTGTAAATAATAAAAAATCTATCGAAATTACAATTTATTTTGGAATCGTTAGCTTTTCAGGCACCTTCGACAACTCTATGCGTTGCTTGATTTGCCAAGAATCTTTCGACTCTTTCTCGAAATTCTCTGCTGGATTCCGGCAGGGGTAGCCGCGGTCCGACACCAGTGAGACCTTGCAAATTCTGAAGCGCTTCCGACAACCGGTGATCGTGATCCAATATGTCCGGCTTAGGTGCTGGGGCTTTTCTCTTTTGCAGCGGCAACCTCGTCGTCTTCGATTCGGCGACGACATTACTGTTCTCCGGCAGTCGGTTTATCATTCCGCAGAACGCGATCTTTGCGCTGAGCAGCGACCAGAAGATCTCCAGAAGAGATGCCATCAGGACGTTTAAGGTGAGCAGCATTCTGGCGTGCGACGAATCTCTATGGCTGTGCCAGAAGGTCTTCGTCTTTTCCCTTGTTAAATTCATAAATCCTTGCGTTACGTTCGTCGTATCTTTATTCTGGAAAATTTCTCTCGATATCATCATCCTTTCTTCAAACATAAACGACGCTTCCGTCATCGTGAGATCGTCGTCATTTTTGGTATCGACACGGAAGTCTGATTCGTTGAACGCGGCGCTGAGGGATTTTAAAGTAACAGGTAATTTATTAGAGTCATTAATCTTCGCAGATCCATGATCTTCAGTGACGTTGAATGAATCCTCGGTCGACGTAATATCATCTACGTGAGTGTCGTTTGCGAAATCCTTGGCGGGACGCAGGGAATAGCGTGGAGCTTCGAGGATTTTTTCCAACGGCCACAGGGATCCATTAGTGCTATTGGAAGCTGCCGCAACGTCAAAGATCGTGACGATGAAGCAGAGGGTGGCGGCCACCAGAGAAAAGAGACTACCGTAGAAAAAAATGGTGATGTTCCGGTCGATGTACCAACGTCGCCAAGCGAGGAGACCTGTCACGAACGGCACCAGACACGCAACGGATAAAATCGGGCCCTGTAAGGACAAGGCGAGGATACCCAGAAGCAGGGACAGCGCTCCGAGGCCAAAGTGGACCAAGGACAGGCCGCCGACCGTCGATGCTGAGTAACGACGCTCCGATGGATATAAAGACGACAACGGCGGTTTGGTCTTCACTTTGATAACGTACACGTTCTCCGTCATTGTCTTCTTAAGTTGCAAGTAAGTACACTTGACTGCATCAACAACATTTAATTCGATGGATCCGATCAACAGAGTGAATTACATCAGGTACAGTATGTTCGAAACATTTGTTCGAGATAAATTCAATTCATGCAGTTCACACTGTCCATTATGTCTTTTGTTCACACCATTAAACAGTTTACACTTTTACAAGCGTCCATCACAATATCGCAGCACAAATTGTTCATCCAAACTGTTTGTAAAGCATTCGTCGCATTTCCTGTCTTGTACAAGTCCTGTCAAATTAAAAAAACTCAGTGAAATACAGCAGCTGTTAAGATGTCACAAAGTATAATTAAAAATTATAAAAATAAGATTCTTCATAAAAGTATTTAAATAGATTAAAATATTACACGAAATAAGTTGATATAAATTAATAGAAAAGAAATGGTTTTTATCATTTGTTATAATTTTTATTAATTTAATCAACGAAATAATAAATATCTCTAAACGACATCTTAATATTTGTTTGACTTATATTAAATGTATTTAATTAGTGGAAATAATATAATAATTTAAATATATCTTTAAGTGTATGTACCAAGTGCAATGCAAAGTAATTTGATTCGGGAAGCAAATTATAAAAATGCGAAAGTACGCGACCGTGGATAATCAAGCGAGTCACGATATACGATGATCTTACAGTCATTCATTCGGCATTCGACTACACCGGATATGTAACCCATAATCAAATTTAATGCAGGATCGAGTTGGAAACGTTTAAAACGGCGCGAATTCGCCGATGTTCGACGATGTAGTAAAAGAAGTTGCATTGATTTCCGCGCTGCGGGAACGATTAATAAATTATCGCAACCGTTTTTCGTTTAATTTAATTGAGGTCCTTGTCGACCTCCGCGCCTGGATTTTGCTCCGCGCTTTCCGCGAGATAGACGTCTTACGCAATCTATGGATAACAATCGCTTGCTCGCGACCGACTACAACCAGTCTCGCACGGAACAGCTTGCACGAGTAACATTGTAATAAACATTTTTTCATAAGTGAGGTAGATGGAACGTAATTGTATCTGACATACACAATTTCGAAATCGATTTGATTTTGCGCCAATACTTGAACGTTCTAGAATAATTGGATTATGGGGAATTATATTACACAGTAACTTTGAACTAATCAAAATAAAGAATTTATGTCAGAGTTGCAATTAAATGGACTTAAAACCAGTTTTTATCTCGTAACCTGCACGTGGATTGCAATATTTTTCATGCGATTGATTCAGTTAATAGGCTGCAGGATTAGACGCGTCGTTAGCGTCAATCTTTTACTTTTTTTTCTCGTGCTAAGATTACGTAACTGATTACGAGACGCTGCGATTATGTTGCAAGTGTGCCCCTGTTTCCCCAGGTATTCGTATTTACATCGAATTAGCACGTCGAACCGTGTGAATCTTCAGTGAAATTTTAAGCAAATTTGCGTTTCACCAGGATATACAACAATGGATTATATATCTAATAAAATCTCGTACAAAAACAATTGTAAAATGTTTTTTCATTTAAATATAATGTTGCAAAGTGTGACATACAAAATATGAAAAATGAAATATCAATTCCAAGAAATAAAATATTTCTAATCATTTTATTATAATGTTAATTGACTTACTAAATAATATTATAACTTTATCATCAAAACTTAATCATTTTCCAAAGTCTAACATTTACTAGATGTGATAATCGGTTATACGATTAAAATTATACAATTATAGAGAAATATAAATAAATTCATCAACATATTATATCATACATCAATAAGAGCAATACTTTTGAACGCTTAAACTTCAATTACATTAACAATATTTATGTGTTGATTTAATGCGCTGTAAATTAATTTTATATCAACTTTGTTTTCAAGCACAAAAATCTGAGGATGAAACTACCACCCACAAAACTATATAAGATATTGTACGAGTGGATTTTACAAACTTGATCTCAATGGCGAGTTTGTCTAAGCAGTGCGCACTGGCGGTAGTACATCGATCACGTTTGATACAGTTCTGTAGACCAAGAATTATTTTCGATGCAGTCAACTTTGAGAAAACACGTTTTCAGATATTGCATTCCGTTAGCGTTAAACTCGTGGCTTGATGAACGATCACTCGCGCGTGATACTTGAGTGGCGACTGAACTACGAAGACTAGTCCTCGTTGAAATTGCTACGAAGTCCTGAACGAGCCTCCCACGCAACCGACTTGCAGTGAAAGGGACAACAGAGAACAGCGTCGGATAAATGTACCTTCGACTCGCGTTAAATCCTGTTCACATCATCGACGGCTTGTACTCACGCGGGAAAACGATCTTGGCAATGAGAGACAGATATCATCTTATGTTTTCCTCTCACTTTATGACGTACGTCGTTGTATGAGCATTCAAGAGGAACCGATAAAAGCAATGGAAGAAGAAAAGTGAAAATAATTATTTTCCAAGTAATGGAATTTCTTTGTTACGTTCTTGAATATTTTAATATGACAATAAGCGTAATAAGACAAATAATCAAGTAGAAATTGACAATGTAGTACTGTGATAGCGTAATTTGTATTTAGTTCTTTTACTCGGCGAACTTTTCGGAATAGTAATCAGTTGACCTCACTTGCCTCTGACGAAAACATGACCCTTCCACTCAGTGTGAAAGTCCCGTTATAATCGAAGGTAACTCTCTCAGAGAGCAAACGTATCCCAGGATCTTCGCGCAAGAGCCAACCTTTGTTGTTAGTTGCAGAAACACGTGGGCTCAGCACACCGACCTTTACGTTGAATCATTCGCAGATCGCGTTACGATAGAATTCCTATAGAGATACGTAAAACAATGAAGAAGCGGTATACTTTTTCGGTTATTATTTCGACTAGATTATAATAAATATAAAAATATCACTTTCTCAGTTTGTTACTTTCGAACGCCGTTTTATGATCGAATAAGCTGAAAAATGAAGAAGAATCGCTTCTATTAAAAGTTATTTCAGATATCGAGGTCACCTATTATAACGTATTATTAAATTTATTATCGTGATTGTTGATGATTTTAAGTTGCAGCGATGTTTCAATTAATATTCGTCGCTTTTAATTATGGAGAAATTTTAATGTAATGAATTTTATCGTTAAAATTTAATAATCTTTTTTCATAATTAATTTTATCATCTAGCTCTCTGTTCTAAATTATTGAAATATCAAGTTTCAATATAATGCAAGACAAATATTACCAAAAGTGTTATAAAAATTTAGTAGAGATGAAGAAAACCACACGCGATTATCGCGTCTCTCGCAAGATGTTTTCACGACAGTAATCACAAATTTGTAGGGATCATGATTGCCTGTGCGAAACAGTTCTAACAGGACTATCATTATTAGTGCCGTTGTATAATTAAGAGGATGATCGAGAAAGTGCTTCCAATAGCTGCGATGAATAAATTGCACATTGCACCATAACGGTGTACATCTCAATGTATCGTAAGAATCCGTTGGTTGGACGAAAGAGAGGACTTTCACGATGTTGCAGCAAAATCGTTCTGCCGCTGATAAATCGTTCATGCGGAAATTATGAAGCACTCTCGGAGAAGATCGGACGTCGCATTGGAGACATCGAACCTCCGGTAATATCGATCAAACCGCAAATTCATTCAAGCGAATAAGAATGGTACAATATTTTAAAGGGGCACGCAAAAGGAATAAAACTTTAGCGCGTGACTCTGCGCAGAGATAACCGCGCGATCTCCGTACGAAACGAAAAACGACGCAACCCTTCGCGATATCATGTCCTCTGCGGCTTGTCGGTCTTAGATACCGATTTATCTCTGTTGGTTCTTAGGAAGATAAATGCAGTTTCGCATATCACCGTCTTCATCCATTATAAAAATAATACAATCTATAAAATGATCGTTTCCTGATACGTCAGACGTGTTCAGGATTTGTTACCGCGGATTTACCCGAAAGAAGTCGAGCTCGTTTCTGCCGGTTAGCGTCTGAAATTACTGGTTTAAGTCGAATTATTACGAAATTGCTATTTCACACTAAAATTGCTGTTTCCAAACATTTTAAAAGAATGTGATTCGTGCATACGCGCTTAAATATGCTTAATAGACAAAATTGTGTATTTTATTAAGTCCGACTTAGCATAACATTTTTTTTAAAGTAATGAGAAATAACTTGAAAGTAAAATAATTAGATATGTAACATATGTTCACCCATGTTATTTCATCTACTTCCATTCCAGTAAGAATGAAAGTAGATAAAATATTCCGTTAATCTTACACCATATATGTTTTCGTTGACATCGAAGAAAGCGATGGAAGTGCGTCAACTACTTTCGCGTTTTTTATTTCCGCGAATCAAACGCTACGAATTTTTGGGAAAGTAACCGTATTGTGTAGACCGCAATTTTTTGGAACGGCAGTCTGTCGATCTTACTTGCTTCTCACGAAAACGCGATCCTTTCATTCAGTAAGGTCCCGTTATAATTGAAGATAATTCCCTCGGAGAACAAATGTATCCCAGGATCTTCGTGCCAACCTTTATTTTAGCTGCAGAAACATGAATTCGGCATACAACCTTTTCGTTGGGTCATTTGAATTTTGGCAGAATTCCTGTAGAGATAAAACAATGAAGAATCAATATTTCGATTATTATTACTCTCTCAATGTTAGATTGTTCTCCAACGCCGTTTTATGATCGAATAAGCTGAGAAATAAAGCAAAAGACGTTTCTAAAAGTTTGTATTAGAAAAATTGAGGTCTGTAACCCTATAATATATTACTATATAGTGAAATTGATCACAACAGAATTGTTAACGATCCTAAGTTGGAATGATATTTGATTAAGATTTGCTTTTAATTACGGAGAAATTTAATTAAAGTCACTTTAATCGTTAAAAATAATTACTTTTCTTTCGTAATTAATCTTACTAGCAGGCTCTCTGTTTTAAATTACGTAACCACTTGCTAAGTATCCAGTTTCCATCTAATAGACTGCAGGAGAATCTTAACGTCGCGAAAAGCGTGTAGAAAATAACAGAGACGAAAGAATAAAACCGCACGCGATTACCGCGTCTCTTTTAACATTTCTTCATGGTGGTAAATTACGGATGCACAAGGATTATGATTGACTAATGCGAAATGCGCGAAATGCTGGGGATCATCGTATTGCTGTTGTGTAATTAGGAAGACGATCGAGAAAGTGTAGCTTCCAATGGCTGCCGCGGATAAACCGCACGTTGCACCATAACGGTGTATATTTCAACGGATCTCAAGAATCCGTTGGACTTTCACGTTGTGGCAGCAAAATCGTTCTGCCGTCGATAAGTCGTTCAGGCGCGGAAATTGTCAAGCGCTCTCGAGAAGCTCGAATAGGAAGGAGAGCGTCGCATTGAAGACATCGAACTTCCGATCAAAAACCGCAAACTTAGTCAAACGGATGAAATTGCCTTTAGATGGACGTGCAAAAAGAAATGAAATCTTCGTGCCCGCAATGTCGCCGTATAACATGGGGATAACTGCGATCTATGCGATCCGTTGCATATGGAGCAAGTCGGACAGCATGAGTGCATCAGTTAGACGTGGCTGTTGGATTTGCTCGATGGTACTAATGGAAATAAACAAAATAATATCCAGCACTGCATTTTACTGATTTGGTTTGAAAGCATGACTTTCACAAAAAATTAGTATCTGGATCTATTATATAAAATATGAATACGAAAAGCAAGTGTGTCGAGCACCGTCTCTCTTCTATGTGTCGCTTAAAACACGAAGAATTAATGCGGAAATAAGGAGATACCCCTCTGGACATTCTTCAGAAACAAGAAAACGTTTGACAGAGTAATCTTAAGTCATCCCGAGTCTTGCACGCGACGATTCGATTAGCAGTTGAAGCGTGAAAATATGTCGATCGAGGGGTCGATCTGGTTTCTCTCTATCTCGCGAGATCTCTTTTTCTCTGTACTTTCACGCGAGCGTGTAGCCGTAAAAAGACTTAAAAAAAAACGCGTGCTTTTGGCGCTCCCGTCAGATAGGCCACGCGCGCCGTTTCGAATCCTTTCATTAAAATGACTTTTCGGCCGTTAACGTGCCGGTATGCCTAAGAGGACGAGAGACATACATTCGGTACTCGGTGAGAGCGAGCAGGGCAAACGATATGTGTTTGCGACCGAAATGCATTCGTGTTGGAGCAGCTGTTACTCTATCGGGGCACGCGTCTCAACGGTCGTGGCAGCTGCCCAGAAAATCGGCTATGGTATCCTCGCTTTGAGTTCTTTCACGTCCATCCACGTAAATTGAAGCTGTTTTAATTTTATATACGTAATTATATATTGTTTAATTCGTTATTAATTATTGTTATAAATTACGAAAGTATTTATTTGCATACGTTAAAAAGGAAAAATTGAAACGAAGTAATTTGATGTATGTGGACGATACAGAGAGATTAAATCCCAGAATACAATAGATATCCGAGAGTATAGTAGATATCGACAAATACATTGCAGTCGTGCAGTGTTTATTTCTAACAACGCTTCCTTCAGAAAGTCCCTCATTTCTCTCTCTTCTAGGAAGAAGAATATTCGTTACTTTTATATTATTTTTAAGTATTTACTATGGAAAGCGAACGATCATTTCACAGATCGTTCAAGAACGTCATGGGTGTTTTACGTGAATGTAAATTTTTATATTAAGTTACGAGAAACTCACTTTATCCCGACGCTAGACGCATTCTTCGGCAGGCATTTAAAGTTTAAATTACTCCGTCAGAAAATGGTCGAACAACAGAAGCAACGGTCGAAACCCTGAGCGAAGTACATTATAGTCGAAGGGCCCCCCCCCCCTACTCTGTGAAGGGACACCGGGCCCGTATTACGTGAAACTCCGTGACAACCCCCCAAGCAAGCGCGCATATACGCGCAGATACGAGGGAACGCGTGGAGAAACGCCCTTTGCGCATCTGCTGTTAAGGGAACTCGCGGGACAGTTTAACGAAGGCAACGGTCGTGAGCGCATCGCGTAGCGATGGAAAGTGCGCATCCTTGATGGACATTTTTACGCGCCGACACGTCGCATTTCATATTCTGTTCGGAAGAAAGTGATCCTTAATTTCACAATTAGGATGAGAATTAGAATTAAATTCCAAGTTTATCGTTAAACTTCCAGAAATTGCAAATGCGTCCTTGAAGCTTACATAGGTGAAGTTAAACTAAAAGTACATCGTAATTTCGATACAGACAAGACTCTTGATTGTTCAACGGCCCAGTTTTCCAGAGAAATCAAGTGAACAAATGAAAATTTGTGTGGGATAATGCCATTTAATTGTTAAGACCGAAAAGGGACTGAGAAATAACTTCGATGTGCTGGCATATTTTTGAAATTTGTGCAGAAAGATGTGTAAAAAGGTTTGCAGATTAACATACGAAATTGACTCACCGCCGACGCAAATAGTGAACCTCGCATTGGAGACTTGGCGATCTCCTGTTTATGTCAGTAGCATACTAGTCATACTCGTCGGTCGATCTTAAATTGTGGTGGTTTCAAATTTTTATTCTGATTTCGTTGATGTTTCAAGATTCGTCAATTTGCGCGCAATTGTGATCGCAAAAAGGACTATGTTTAACAATATCAGCGAGATTCGTCAGTGTTCGATAATTTGTGCTAATTTCTTCTATAAATCTGGAAAATCTAACCCCTGTAATTACTTCTACATATTCAATAGCAGCCGTCGCGTAAACTCGAAATAATTTTTCTCAGTAAAATTTACCAAAGAAAATATTTATTAACTTTCGTATTTGGCATAACATGTGGATTTGAAGTAGATTTTATTCTGGGTGGAATTTGCGACGGCTGCCTGTAATAATTCATGAAGAAGTCCTTCAAATCTTGTTAAACGCACCACTTATTTAGCTAATAACGTCCTAGACTTGACCATTGAACTCTCAATTTATCTCTGCGATTTAACGGCAGATTTGTTCGTTCGGATCAAAACCTAAATATACCAGTTCAATTTAAGTCTTTTCTCGATCGTTTAGAAATTTTGAATCACAAGTTTCTCAATAGAAATTGCATTGCGGAAAACGTCAACTATTTTTCTCTTTTATCGAAGAAGCGAGAAGATACACGTCGTTCGATGAGATAGCGACGAACAGAAATCATGGCTCAGCCAGCTGAATCGGTGCCGGTGCATTGCTACACGAATCCATCATTCTGCCGTCAATCGGAGTACATCCCGGACGATCATGTTAACGACCTGCCGCCGCCGCCGCCGCAGCAGTTTCAAGGAAGCGACGATTTACCGCCGCCTCCGCCGCCGTTGCAATTGCAATGTCACGCCGCGGGTCAGAGCAATCCGGCCTTCCAAGCCCCGGCGGAGACAACGCTGGACGTTGTCTGCGAGCCGCGGGACCGGTATTGTTATCTGGAGGGTAACAGGGCCCCCACGCACCGGAGATACGCCAGTCTTCCGGCGGAGGAGACTCGCGTGACTTACAGCCAGTCCTCGCGATATGAATACATAGAGCAGGACGAGGCGGAGAGCAACCAGTTGCCGCGCAGGAACTCGTCGAGGTACGAGTTGATTCCACGCCAGCAGGTGCAACAACGTTCCGCGCCGGCGACCAACCAAGACGATCGAGGAGGGCCGCAGACGCGGACGTGTCGCGGCAATGCCGGTAGATACGCTCTTATACCGGGTGACCAAGTCTATCAAGAAGACGGTTCGCAGTGGAGCAATGCGAAATCGACGCCTCGACATATCACTACTCCGCAGGGTAATTAGCCGGCCTTTATCTGCCGTTTTAGAAATGTGAAGCCTTTCTGTGCGTTCGCAGTCGGGTCGATGAAAATTAATCAATTATTCGAGCTTACGGAAACTAAACATAATATATAAGTAGTTGTTCCAATCGCATCTAATTGCACAATTTACAACAGGCCGTTACATCAGAGTACCTTTGCAAGAGGAGATTCCGCCGGCACTTCCCGAGAGAAACGCGCACGGGCTCTCGGTATCGCCAAAGAATAACTTAGCCACGCAGAAACTACATGAAATATTATCCACACCCAGGAAACCGAGATCCAGATCCGAAGAGAGGACACTGTCGCCAAAGAGACAACAATCATTCAATCAAACCGTCACACCGCAACGAAGGGCACTCACTCCTGGCGGATCTCCAAATGGTTTCAAATTTATTATTGCATTGTCCTCTTTAATGTGCATATAATGTACCTCCTATATTATACTATATAATATTTGTCACGATATAGTAATGAGTGAATATCATTTCAATTTGAAAACAATGATAAATCCATCGGAGCATATCAAATCCTAAAGAAATATATTCTCGGAAATGGAAACTATCGCGTTCTCCAGATTCTCTCACGCGACGCTGTTTGTACACTTAATTAATTAATTTTCAAACAATTTGTCAATTAACAAAGTGGAATATTTGTTTTATCTGTCACTTTCTATCAGGTCGTACCTTCAGTCCAACGCGCACAACTCCTCACGGCACACCTCACCGTGCCTTCTCGCCGACGGGACCTCAGACTTCGACGCCTAACAAGGAATCCTCAGCTCGCAGATGTCTTCCTCTGCTGGAGAACTCATCCCGGCAGCAGGATCTTTGTCCAGCTAATAATTGCGGCCGGCTACGTTACGTTGGCACCGCGCCGGTCGATTTAATGAACATGAGCCATGAACCGCCACCTCGCTACGCTTATACGGAAAGCGGCCTCGAGTCCATGCCGATGATGTCCGGATCTCCCAAGTATCAGGTGGTGCCCGCCGAGCAGAAGAATTATCAAAGCGTAGAAAGCGCGTTTATGGCACGAACCGCCGTTGTAAGTGATGTGTTGAACCAAGCGGATAATGATACAACAGATGAAAAGAAATAATCACTGAATCTAATGAAGGTTTTCTCGTATTAGGTACCGCCGTTATCTCCTCCGAATAGCGACGCGAATACGACGCTGGCGAGCGGCATGGAGAAAAATGACAGAAGGAGCGCACCGATTCTTTTGATATTGGTCGGTCTTCTCACATGCGGCCTCGCCCTGTACCTGTCTTGGTCGCAAGGGAGAAGGTACAATTTCTTTATGTTGCTTCTTAGAAATTTTTAAACAAGAAATTATAATATTCGGCATCGATTTCACTCAAACGGCTATTACTTGAACGTTTTAGAAGCATACGCTATCCGTAAATAGTTTTAAATTTATATCAATAACGTTAATGGTTTAAATCAATATTTAATCGGAAAAACATTGTTTTTAGATACTACTTTGATAGCGCAGTCGGCTGCGGTGCCTGTTGCGCTCTAGCAGGTGCATGCAGAAGTCTGCGAAAGACCTGGACAGGACTTGGTCTGGCTGGACTGTCGGCACTGAGCTGTGCTGGTCTTCTGCTGCTCGCCGCTAAATCCCCGAGGGACGGCACACCCCTTCACGATATTACAGCTGGCGCCCTGTGCGGCGTGTCGGTCTTAGGAGCGGGTTTAGCTTTATTGGCTCTTCTGAAGCCGAAATGCAATCTCGGACGTCATAGACGAGTGCATTCTTGGATACCACGGTTCTCTCCTTAAGTCCTAGTGCCATTCTGGCAACCGTTAAACATAATGATAGTTATATTTACTTCAGAATTGTCTTTCCAAAAGGAGGATATGTATAAATGCTACCGTAAGGCAATTGAAGCATATACAGTAAATATTCTTGCCATATAATCGGAAAATTGTATTTTATATTTTTATAAATATCGAGATAAAGTGAGATGTGAAGAATATTTTACTTAGAGTATACTCCTGAAAATTGTGCTGCGACTGAAAGTGCACGATAGTTTTTTTTCAAAGATATTTATTAAAATTAATTAATCTTCTTGTAATCTTGAGCAATCGAATGTTAGCTTTTTATTTGATCAAGTACGCGTAATGAAATCTGAGCGAAAAATTCAGAATGTATAGAAAATGGATTATTGGTATTCATAAGTACTATTAAACAAATAGCTTATAAGGACTATTGTCCATGCTTCTAAGATTTTATTCTATTGAAATTCGTAAATTCCTTCAACATTTTTTCTCCTTAAATATAATTTTTATGCCTACATGTTTTTCAAATTTATTCTCACGTTTTACTTGTTTAGCATGGATATACTAGGAACCATCGATGCCTTCCCACATGAATTTGTGCACAATCGACACATTTATACATTTTGTGTATACATACGTAGAAAATGTATATGTGTTCTACCTGTTCTACCTAAATTCATATGAGAAGGCATCAGTAATTCCTAGTTTACAACTATTAAGACTCATAGATTTTTATAGATATAAATAATTTAAGAACTATTAACATTTAAGATAAATTATGTACTTATTAACATCGTTACGCTATAACGCACGAGGCAGCTTTGTAAATGATGCCTTCAAATCGTACAAAGATTTAAATTGAAGTTGTAAGAAGCGACTTATTTTTTTAAATTATTTTGTATGAAATACTTTGTAGAAAATAAAAATTACGTGAAACTATATTTCATACGATAAAATTTAGAAGAAAATTTATAATTTTATTATCATCCTTGTTTCGAGCCGATATTAAGTTTATAATCATTTTCCCTTTCTAAAAAAGAAATGTTACCAGCGCGAACAGTTGAGCCTCCTTTCCGCGATGCCGATTGGTCTTCTCGAAGCGCGGTGTGCTTCACTTCTCTTTTAGATTCATAGTGAATAAAGATTTGTGATTTAGTAATATACATTTGTATGCATCAACTATTGAGGTAAAATCTCTAATTTTAGTAATTAGAATTTAAGTAACAACGATTTTTGTTTGATTTGTTTCGAAATATTTTCTTGATTGAACAGAATTAATCGTTCATTTAATCAACACCAATAAGTCCGCAGAATGATACACAAAACGTAGTAACAGTCGCGGAACAAAGTAATGTAAAATATTCAGTACAGTATTTACAATTTCGTAGGCGGGACACGTCACCGCGCCGATAGAAAAACAACAACGAATTCTCAACGTTCGTTGCCGTTTTTCTATCGGCGCGGTGACGTACGATGTTTTTGCGTGCCATTGTGTACCAGGTACCTGAAGGTCGCCGCGCTATCATTCGCTCGCCGAACGTCGAGCCGGCAGGCAGCAACGAGAGTCGGTCCGTGCGTCGTATTACTTTTGCGTTAACAGTTTCCGAGACTCGATCGCACTAAATGCAGGGATAAAACGCTATTGATTTGCACACCTTTATTAGTAACAAGTAACGTTCCTCGATTAATTATTCAATTTTTACAACTTGTAATGAGAAACGAATTGCATGTTGAGGCGACGGCTCTTTATCAACGTATACATAGACATTTCACGAGATTAACTCATCTAAAACTTTGTATTTTGTCGGTACTTTGTCGCGGTTACATCGCGTTTACGTACCGCGTACTCTTAATTATCTATCGATTTCGTGTATTCTGTTCCATTTTCGGGAAAAGAGAGAAATTTGTACTACTTCGGCGTTCGCACTCTGTCGTTCTTCGCAATTCAAACGGGCAGAAAGTAAAGAAAGTCGCTTATCGCACATTGTTACATTATGTAAATGTAATCGAAAATTATCTCGATTAACTGTTGCAATTAATAACAACTATTTATCGCTGGAAACTTTGCTCACATAATTTATTTCGAGGATTAGATTGAATGGCAAAAATTGTAAAATATCGTTTCGCTGCGGACTAATGACTACTTCTTTACCGTAGATTATACTTTCGATGCTCGCGTTGCGTTTTATATCGCCAATTCAAAAGTGTTTTTATCCATTATCCTATTCTTCCGAATCAAAAATGCAAGTTGTTAGATTGAGTAATTTGTATCGTAGAAAGTCACGCGATATTTGTTAATAATATTTGGTGTGTTCCGCGGTATTTCACATCGCGTACGGGAGTACCCGAAATTTTGCGCGATCGATGATTTTCGCGAGTGAGTGTTGTGTTAGTGCAACAAGGAAATCTGAAAAGATGTGCAGGCCTAGGAGGCATCGGGCAACAGCGGAGAAAGGGTGAGGTAAGTGTCTTACATTTTTCTGTTAACTCTTACTTGTGCGAAATAATGCATCTGTTCTGTGTTTTTATTTTATTTATTCAAACGATTCGAACGAGAAATTGAATAAGTGTTAGAGACAAAACCATACATATAAAATTTTGTGAGTTTATATTTAAAAGAAAGACTTTTTCAGTATTCTATATAATTATTTGAAAAAATACCTATTTTAAAAAATATAAAATATAAAGTTTATTTAATACAATAATTTTGACTTTACATAATTGAGTGATATTTTACATAAGTGAGTGATAAATTACTTTTTATTTGAAATTAACGTTGCGCATACAATTATTTCTTTATATATATATATATATATATATAATTCATCTTATCATATACAATAAAGAAATTAAAACAAGTGCATTAATAATATTACAATATTATATATATAATATTGTAATATTATTAATGCACTTGTTTTAATTTCTTTATCTTATCATATACGATAAAGAAATTTAAAAAATAAAGTAATTCTACGAAACGTAGAATTATTTTATTTATTCTGAATTTGATATAAAAATGATACATAGACATCCTCAGGAATTGTCGTTTCCTGATGCGTCAGACCCGTTCAGCAGATATGGAATCTGTTATCGCGGATTTACTAGAAGGAAGTTGAGTTCCTTTCTACAATATTTCTCAGTTATTGCCTGTCACCCGGCAGTGAATAGTGTAACACGGACACATACGAAATGTTTCACCAAAAATTTAATTATCTTATTATTTTAATTATATATTATTTGATTTGATTTGATTTGTCGAAACTGAAATGCAAGCTGCTGTCTTCAAATAAAAAAGTGATACCCGTTCACGCGAGTTTTATTCAAGTAAATATATTGTACAATGGGCAAGACTGTTGTACGATTAGATCCAATTCGGCACAAATTTTATTAAAGTAATAGTGTATGAAATAACATAATTAGGTACAGAATATTTATTATGTTATGCTGTTTTATCTACTTCCATTCTGGTAATCGTTATTCTTAGAAACAGCACGTGTGTTTTCGTCGACAATGAAGAAAGCGAGGATGGATGTGCTAATTATCTTCACATTTTTTATCTTCGCGAGTCAGATGCTACATATTTTTGGAAAACTAACTGTATTGCGTGGATCGTTCATATCTACGTACCCCGTCGAAGTTAAATTGATATGCCTCTCAGAGGATGATGGCGGCGCTCTTGTATGGAATTACAATTTAATCTGGGAATATTATACTCCAGCAAAAAACAATTATAGTAAGTCTCAGTCATAAAGATTAAAATGAGCATTATTCCAGCCTGTGGAACCAAATGGATTTAAGAATAAAATATTATTTTTGTTATTTCGGCACATGTGTACTTCTATTCTTACAAAACTTAATATCTTTTAAATAGAAAGTAATTCATAAAACATTCAACTATTTTCACATTTATATGTAACGTTATAAACGTGCACATAATTTTAGAGTTTGAAGATTTAAATAAATTCAGCAATAATGAGATAGATTGCAAAATGAACGCAAGCGAAGGTTGTTTGGAGACATGGATTAAAAACGACTGGAATCTTACAAATTCTTTTAAAACACCTATGGGCCCGGTATTCGATCAACGATGGGAAGGTAAAAATCTGGCAATTTAACAAAAGTTCGTGATATATATAAAATGCATTATAATATTATAAACAAAATATATTTTTACTTTGCAAGTAGCTTCAAGTGACATGTACCTAACATTTTCAGAATTTAAACAGTATGAAAATTATCAAGATATCTACGATCACGTAGATTTTAAACTTACTACTGAAGTGAAGCTCTCGTTTTCGATTCGTGTGGCCCGCGATGCACATGTATTAATTTGCAACGGCATAAATCAATACGCAGATCCTTGCTATTGGATCATAATAGGAGGTTGGGGCAACAGCAAATCTGTCATACGAAAATGCATTACGGGAGTACCAGTACCCGGAAAATGGCCTGAGAAAAATTCGGAATGCAGGAAAGAAGTAGCTGCCTTACAAGTAAATAGATGTACATTGTGTTTCTCTTGTTTAAAGTTATTAAATGTTTATGTTACGTATAATAAGACGTAAAGTGAAGTAGGGGAAAATCGTCTATTATGAGATATGTTTCTAATATGAGATATTAGGTTTTCAACACCCAAATTCAATCACAAATATTTTTTTACAATTGTTACACAATCTAAGAATTTTCCACTAAACAGATTTTGTTCCAAGGGTAATAAATTTATGGTGCAATCAACTGATGGTGCCTATTAATTTAACTGAAACCTTACTATTGCATATTGGGAACTTATCTCATAATGTGGGGCTTTCCTCTATATACGTACAATAAAACATAAAATGTTTTTGAAGCATATTTAAGGCAAATTTGAATTTAAAAATTAATTAATTTAATGTCATTATGCTTTCTACTATTAATGATATTGTCTCAGAAACACAATATTCAACGATCTAAATCCGTAAAAATTGTCTCAAGATTTTTATGCCACATTTAAAAAACTTAATAATTGTTATAGCATACACCATTGTCTTCAACTGAATGGCGATCGTTTACTATTACGTGGGATCCTGCAATAAAGCAAATAAATGTTTATAATACTAAAAAGGTTATTTTGTCTTATACAGACACGAAAAGTGTTCCATACTTACGTTCAAGTAATAATTATCACATGTTTATCAGAAGCGATACAGCGATGTTGTACAGATTTCATATATGTGAGTGTGGATTTTCAACAAATTTTCGTAAAAATCATTTTAAATTCAGGCATCAAGTAACGAAGAACGAATCACATACACGAATATGTTTTTCAGATGACTTTCTGCATACGACTGTCGAGACTGCAGTTTTAACAAGCCCCGTCTTCCGCATTAATAACAAAATGATATGCGTACAATTGTTAGTTGGCCTTTGCGCCGAATGCGACGCACATGTAGTGTTACGCACTCATGATTATAATAAAGAATTAGTAATAGTGACAGTAAAAGGCTTGAGAACGGCTCATGGTTTACCTATGTGGCAATCTGTCAAAATCACGAAAAATATTTCAGAAATCGATTATAATAGTGGAATGATAATTCAATTGATTCCCAAACTCAACAGGATTAGCTCGAATCCGCTGTGGGCGATAGCGAACGTTCGTCAATGTCCCCAAAATGGTGCGAATCTTGTAATTTTTAATGTTTTTAGTACATTTGGAATCTTCGTAATGCTAGTTATGTACGTTTGTTAAATAATTATAAAAGCTTTTCAACATATTATCTTTTTGTATATGTATATAATTTGATTCCTTTTATTTTTTCAAAGCTTTGAGAAGAGGTATTATGAATTCTAAACAAGATTGGGGGAAGCAATTTTTTTGGCCGTTTGAAACATGTCAAAAGTTATTTTACGATGAACATGCTGTCGTAAATCCTTTATCACGCGTCACATCAGATATAAATACAGATCTGGGTAACTATTAACAAATGTTACGTTACATAAGAGAATGAATGACGCAGTTTTATTGATTACGTTTTAAATATGGCAAGCTAAAAATAATTTTAACTTGTTCTTTTTTTTTAGATGATTCAAATTGTTTTGAAGGAAAGATCGGACCGCGATGTTTGTTTTCTTGTAAAGACGATCTGCTTAGTAACTTTGACTGTGGAGGAACCGAAATTTGTTACCACAATGGTTGCACGTGTGCTTCGAGTTTTACAGGAAGCTCATGTGATACACGTAAGTAATTCTTCATGCCGCTAGCATTATTTCTATTTGTATGTATGAAGTATTCGAACATGTAATATTCGAGCTTCCAGCTTGTGCATCAAATCAATATGGTCGTGGCTGCAAAAAGGAGTGTGGCTCATGTCTCTATAAAACTGAGAAACGGTGTAATAAAATAACTGGAGAATGTAGTGATGGTTGTGATAATAGAAAAGGATTATACCTACCACCTTTATGTCAAATAAGTAATAATCTTTTATATAATATATATATAATTATTTTTACATTAAATTTATCAAACGAATATTTACATATGTCATGATTAGAGGCACGTAAAAATTGCAAAATGGTGGACAACTTTTCGACTCAGTCTAGTCCGTTCTATCCGTAAATAAGAGGTGAGTGGGTATTACATAACACCCTGTATAAATATATTGATAATTTTGCAGGTGTAGACAAGCCTAATGCACCTACGATTATCTCAACAACCGAGACGACTATTTGGGCTGCTGTTTCTGTAACATGGAAGGAGGAATATGATGAAATATCAGTTCTATATTCTTTTGTTATTCAAGTAACAGTTTAGTATTATTTTTATAATATTCCTAAATAATAAAATTCTTGTTTGAATTGGTAGTGATTAAATAAATTTTACAATCCGTACAAATGTCTGAATATTGCTTAATATTGCTTACTTCAATAATAAATTGAAAGGAGGGGATCAAGTTTATGGTATACACTTTTTACAGGGAGGAAGCCATGTTCAGCAACCATGGAACGAATTATTTCAAAATATGACACAATTGCAAACACATTTTGAGAAGCTGGAACCTGGCACTACTTATCATATTGCTTTCACCTTAGATATTGCTGGTTTCAAAACTGATAGCGACTGGCAAATAGCTGAGACTGGGTGCAATCGTGAGTCGATTTATTTAGTTTATACACGTAATGTTTATATTATTTATCTCACAACTTATTATTTCATTTATCTCATGATACAACATAAGTTGGAATTATAAATCAAGGTTATTATTCTACATCTTTATTACGTAGCCATTTTAATTGTAAATAGTATGCAATACAAGCAATAAAAGGCATTGAAAATATCTTATTAATGAAAAGCTTGTCACACCTTTAAAGTACTATTAACTTATAATAAAAAATTATATTAGATTTTATGTAATTTTACGAATAATATATTTTCTGTAATGATTTTTACAAAATGATGTAGCTGCTGAAAACTTTGTTTTAACGGCCGAAGAAAACGGCATGATAATTGATTGGCGAATCAGTCCAAATGTAAGTATCTCAAAGGTTTGAGTTTAGTTTTAGAATTCTTTAATTTAAAACTCATTTTTATTTTTTTTATAACAGCAATTATATTCATGTCCAGCAAGTTGGTATTATCTAATAATCCGAAACATAAATACGAGCAATACAATCGTTTCTCAATTGGCTGCGTTTTTTCCATATAAAGTACAAGATTTACAGTCGTACACTTCTTACGATGTAATCATAGGTCACAAAAAACGCGTTTTATTTTCCCAGGAAATTCGTACTCTCGAAGGCAGTAAGTGTGAATATATCTTAGAAATATGTAAAAAAGGTTACTTGTACATTGTGCATTATTGCATATACGAATATATTTGGGATATAAATATATTTTACGAATCCACAGTTCCATCCAGAGTGTTAGAACTTCGTAGTATGCTATCGGCTAATACAGTCATTCTGATGTGGAAACCTCCATATGAACCGAACGGAGAAATAGTGGGATATGAAGTAACTTTGATGGTAATAAACTTCCGTGTACATAAAAGAATTAATTGTTCATCAAAATTAATTAGAATTACTCTATTTTATATTTCAAGCTAGTTTATCTTACATCTGATAGATTTATGTAGTATCCCGAAGTAAATCGTGTGGCATCGTTAAAATCGCATATGCGCATTGAATTTTAACTATTTTAATTATTAGATTGTCCACCTTAACGTGTTTCGACCTGTTATGCAGACACTTTGTATTAATTCCAGATTATGAAGTTCTACGGTTGTGGAGAATCAAAATTATCTTTTTCAAATCATCACATTATTCAGAAGTCTACAACAGAACCAACGATCACTTTTCCAGATTTACATCCATACGCATTTTATTGTGCGCAGGTCATAGTTCATAACACACGATATTTCAGCAGTATCGTAGAGACAACCTTCAGTACAGAACAATCTGGTACATGTACATTACAGTATTTAGTAGAATTATTAAGTTTACAGACAAAAAGGTTAATTAGTCTACTTAGTTACCTGTTTCTTAATCTTTAGTCATGTCTTTGGTAATATATTGATATATCTATACATACAAGTTTACATAGAAAAATTAAGAATCAACAATTTTATAGATATACCATCAGAAGTATTTAGTCAGTTGAAAGTACAAGATTGGAAATTGTTATGGAGTCCGCCCGAAGATTGCACTACAATTTCAGGAACATTGACAGCCAGAATAATAATTCAGGGTATTAGCGACGCTGTTAAGTACTTCAACGTGACCAAACAGACTAGCCTCTCTTATTTTGACTTGAATAAATTAAATCCAAACTTGAACGGTGCTGAGCGATATGTAGCGACAATTTACGTAATAAGAAATTTTACGAGTAAAGAGAATGCCTCCGCTTATCAAAAGTACGAGTTTGAAACTCCGCCGACAGGTAAAACTTATTATTTATAATAATTATTTTTGATAATTTATCATTTTTTTCTATGACTATAACGAATTGAAATAATAGCTCCGCCTAGAGTAACTAATTTGGAGATCGTCGAAATTGATACTCGTCAAACGTATGGTATGATACACTTGAGATGGCAAAGTCCACTGCCACCTCTCAATGGGAAATTACATATTTATGGTGTTCAATTATGTGACACGTATGACAAAGTTTGCTCACTTATTGAAGTTCAAGTCACTGAGTCTTGTGACTTGTGGGAAGATTATATATGCAAAGTTGTTCGACAATCGCAATTAGTGAAGGTAAAGTAATGCTAAGTTCTGTAAAATTTTCAATACTTTTAGCAAACGTGAGTAATTTAAGTGTAAGAAGTAAAAAAGATTAAGAGAATATAAAAGTATTAGGATGATAATACAAAAATAAAAACTGTATAATAATAAATATGTATGTAGGTTGTAGCATACAATATCAACGTTACTGAACCAAGCCCTCCAGCTATTGTGACTGACGATATGCTTCGTACTATAAGTAAAACTTTTAACAATTAATAATTTTAAAAATTTATAAAAACTTGGTATTATAAATATTATAAATTTTCTTAAGACTAAAACTAATCATAATTTATAAAATATTAAATTTTATTATATTATTACAATATCTTTGCTTTACTTGCTATGGCTTTAAAAAAATGCTAACGAAACTTTCCTCTTTTATTACAACCTATATTATATGTAATAAACAATTATTTGATGACTTCTTAGAATTTTCTAAGAATATAACATTAATTTAATTGTATCGATGTGACAACGATTATAAGCAGGTAACATTTTAGGGCCGGACGCACCTGGAAATTATACTTTTACAATCAACAATAACAGTGTGGTTGATCTAAAGTGGCTTCATCCCTGGAAGACAGGTCGTCCTCTCAAGTCTTTTCGTATTGAAATAGAAGAAACTTTCTCTAACCTGAGAATTTTCCAATCGGCCATTAATAAAATTTACATATATCCGGTGACACAATACATGCGCAACTACGCCATACGATTGTATTTATTCTCGTCAACGCGATATATCATCAGCATTCGAGCTGTGACATTTGAGAATAAATTCAGCAGCTCAAAGTTCGTGAAATTCCGTACACCCTCAACCGCAGCTTTTGACGATAATCTGAAGGCCACGGTGGACAAATCCGATTCCACCATTTTATTAAATATACCGACTGTTTTAAATGATACTCGTAATAGCGTGACGCACATCATTGTAAAGGGTCCTAATCTCTGCGAGCAATATACGGAAGTGCCTGAGAATTTACGAGCGCAAGCAGGCGTGAAGATGGACGAAATCGCTTGGCAAGCTGCTGAAGTTACGGTACTAAGTATAGCATTCTTAATAATAATTGGAAATTGTTTTATTGTGATGTAAAACACGTAAATTTGCGGACGACAATAATTCTGTGTTATACGTTATCCGAAAAATAAATAACGTCGCGCAGTACAGACAGAAAACGATATAAATTCACATATTAAACAAAAATTATTGAACTATCTACATACTCGTATCTAAAATTTGGCGTTCTCGTTTCTTTATTTATATTTAACGACTAGCTGAAATTGTTATATATATAATTAAAATAAGATTAATGTTACATAAATCACTACTACTATACAATCTTTATGCGTATCTTTGGAATCGAATATCTTTGCTTTCAATTGTGGCAGACCAATGAGTACGCTGGCGAACGATTCAGAATCGGCGACGATTTAATTTACGGCAATGCAAGGAATTGTCCATTAAAACCTGAAGAGCTTTATGAAATAGTGGTTATCGTAACCGAACAGAATTCGTCTACCGAGCCGATCATGCTTGCAAAATCAGTCCGCGTCGGTGAAGTTCCACCGAAGCATCACGAAGCATGGATCGTACCCATTGTATTTCTCGCTATGGCAGGCGTAGCCTTTTACTTGTACCGAAGGTAGTATTTTTCTGTTTTTTTTTTTAGGTAGAATTATATTGCTGATCTCAGTTACTCATATCTGTCGTCTCAGCAGTTTGGACTAAACGATCTGCTGATGCCACGAATCAAATTTCGATGGATTACAGATTAATTTTATATTTACTGCAATCCGACGGGTGATTTCCATTTTACAGGAAAAAGCAAAAATTTACGGAGCAGCAAATGCAAGACGAGATGATTTTGTCACAGAACATCGAGAACTACGAACAAGAAAACAAGTCCGTGATTTCGCATTCGAAGGAAGACCCGTCAACTCCTTCTGACAGACAATCCCTATCGCGGGCAACCACCCCGGAAGAGCTGCCGGTCGCCGTCGCGAACGACGACGAAGAGGAAGAAATGACATCGCTGGTGAAGGTGAAAGATTTCGAAGATTACGTTAGGCGAGCGATACAGTCAGGATTGCTCGATAAGCAGTACGAGGTGAGTTCTCGACTTTCATTTTAACACTTGAATTATCAAAATGGGATTACTTCGAAAACTTGACGTTTGCATGAATGTATCTTTGTAATATACAATACTTTGCGGAGAACAAAATTATTTCCTTTACTTTACATATAGTGATTGCAATTATATGCCTAGCCTTATAATTTATCACAATATAATAAGATGAATTGATGATCTTTTCTCGAGACCTTCCATAGAGGGCAAACTCGACCGTGGGATTACGGGAAATTGCCGCAGAACAAGTCTAAAAATCGATACGGGAATCTTATTGCGTGTAAGTAAGAAATCGGCCGCGGACTACATTTATGCAACAATGAATTAATATCGTGCCGATTTGTACAGATGACGAAACGCGTGTGGTACTAAAGAAATTTCCGGATGACGTTCACTCCGATTACATCAACGCTAATTACATCACCGTATGTCCCAATTACTCACAAGTGTCTTAGTTTCGAGACGCAAATTGATATATTATATTTCTGCGTAAATCATATTCACGCGATATTAACTAATAATAATTTTTTAATTTGACTAATAATTATTCAAAAAGGGCTATAAGAAGGAAAAGCGCTACATAGCGACACAAGGACCCAAACCCAACACGGTCATCGATTTCTGGCGCATGATTTGGCAAGAACACGTTCTTATTATTTGCATGTTGGCAAATGTGGTCGAAAGTGGAAAAGTAAGCTTTTTGTTTGTTAAATCGTTATTCTTTCGCGTAAATATATACCTTAATATCTTTTATAGACAAAGTGCGAGCAATATTGGCCGGATATTGGCAAGAAGAAGAAATACGGCGACATTTTTGTGCTGAACGCGAAGCACAATGTTTTCGCTGATTATTGCTTTAGAACTTTTAACGTCACTTGTGGAAAAGAGACTCGAAAGGTACCAATATTTTTAACTAATGGAACGTAACAGCTTATATTAAACAATAAACATCAATAACAGATAGAACACCTGCATTATACGGCTTGGCCGGATCATGGCGTGCCATTGTACACGCACTCCGTGGTCACATATTTGAAGAAACTGTTGGCGACACCACCTGGAAAAGGACCCGTGGTAGTCCACTGTAGTGCTGGTGTTGGAAGAACCGGGACCATCATTTTGTGCGACATTTGCCTCCATCGAGCAGCGGCAGAGGGGGTAACAATCACTTTTAATCATCGTTTTAGTAACGTCATTTGTATTAATTAACCATATTCAGAAGTTTGGTATATACAGGGTGAATCATTAAGGCTATTCCAATCTTTTACCATGAGGGATGGATTAAAAAACTAATTAAATTGTTCAGGTGGTCGATGTTTTTACCGAAACGGCGTCTATTAGAAACGAAAGAGCTAATATGGTGGATAATAAACAGCAATATCTGCTGGCGCATTTGGCATTAGTGGAATGTTTGCTTTCTGTCCCAACCACATTGCCGTGTAACGAGATGTTAACGACACGGATCAAAGAGTTAAAAAAACAATTACCTATTCAACAGCAAAGGTATTTTTTTAACTCAATTTTAATTTACATTGATACTTGAGTCGATAAAGATGACGTTGAGAAAGTTGCATTTAATTTTCCATTAAAATTAAAATTAGATTACAAAACACTGCGTGGCAAGACGAAGCTTTGCGACAGGTTACGTCCCCACCGCCGTTGTCAGAGCGTAATCGGGCCAAAAACAGATTTCCGGAACTGCTTTCAGGTCTGTTCGTTTATTTTAATTACATGGGATTTATTTTATTGGCCTTTAACATTTCAAATTTTTACCAATTATATCATTAAACTAAAAACTTAAACTAACGTTTGGCATAACTTACTATAAATCATTGAGGTGTCATAGAAATGTCAAAGATTTATTTAGAAAAGATTAATTTATTTCACAGAGAAGGTCAGTAGAATATATTTGAAGAGATACCCGACATCGGACGAGGACAGCGATTATCTATCCGCCGTTTACGTAGACGGAGTAAAACTTCAGAATCAGTATTTGGCCACGCAGCTTCCCATGCCGTCGACGATTAATGATTTCTGGCGAATGATTGCCGAGTTAAAAGTTGAACTTATTCTCATGCTGCAACCACCTGATTTGAAGGATCCTGTACGTCTCTAACATATTAATTTTTGCACATATTAACTCAAAACGTATTTATGAAAGTAAGGAAGAGAAAGAGAGAGAGAGAGAGAGAGAGAGAGAGAGAGAGAGAGAGAGAGAGAGAGAGAGAGAAGAGAGAGAGAGAGAGAGAGAGAGAGGGAGGGAGAAAATATTTAACAAATATAAATTTATTGACTTGTGACAAATACTTGGTGCATTTTTAATTTCTGAATTCATTTGCTTAAATAAAATGAATCAGCACCTGAGATAGAGGCGTAAAATACATTATATAATAAACACATGAAAATCATAAATTTTAATCTATACAAATATTGTTGTGCACAAAAAATAATATTTCTGTAAATTTTAGACTTGCTGCTCTATCGCTCCTGCAAACGGCGAGTTTAAACCAGTCCCATATTTGAACGTTACAGTGAAGGAAGTTGTGGAGCTGGAATATTATACTTCACAAAAATTGTTGCTCGTCGACAATTCCGAGGTACATCAATTCAAGCGACAAGTCGATAGTTTTCACTTGCCAGTACCTACTCAGCGTGATGACACTTCTGTTTCTATCGCAGAAACCCTCGAGGGAACAATTTGTTACCATACTGTGTTTGACGGAGTGGAAATCTGGAAGGGATCAACCACCGCCACCAGTTATGACGATGGTGACCTTTTGGCAAGCTGCGGAGAGAATCGCGAGAGGCGATGGGCCCACCGTCACGCTTTGCCAGTAAAACTTTGAACTATTATTGCTCCAAATCCAAAGGAAAATCGCTATACTTTACACTTTCGTGTTTTTCTTCAATAACGAAAAAGTTTTCCTCTTAGAGTTTATATTTTTTACTTCTAGACAAATCAGACAAACATAAATAATAATCATAAAATTGTTTAATAGATCAATTTTGAATTTATAGCTTCTAAATAATATCTAAACAATATCAGAGGAATAAGATAATTTTTCAGCGACGGAGTAACTGGATGCGGTCTCTACTTGGCACTGAGTTTCCTGCTGGAACGAATGGCCGTCGAAAGAGAATGCGACGTTTGTTTGGCGGTGCGAGCCGTTAGACGATCGAGAGCAGATTTCGTTCGTTCTTTGGTAATGTATCATTTTCACAGAAAGAGAAAATCTCGACAATTTTATCGTTAAAAAATCTTAGTTATTGCTATTAGAAAAAAGTAATTAGAGAATTTTAAGAATATACTCAAATCAGGAATTTTGTTTCATGTTTAGGAGCATCTGGAATATCTATACGAAGCCGCAGTTACATATTTAGAGTACTTTGAAACCTATGCGAACTTTTCGTGAAATAAAGATAAGTAATCCTGATAAAATAACCAAGAAGCAGCATTACATTGTAATAGATAAGCGAACGCAGTGTCGCAAATAACCACATATGTATCAAGTACTGATAGGATGTGCATGAAATATTGGAGCTTTCATATTAATGTAGAAAGTGTTTTAGTTTCGCAATCTGAAATATACGGAATATTATAGAGGGAAATAGCTAATGGCTGGTAGAACTTTGTTTTTCTCTGTTTTTCTATTATACGTCCAAGGTAAACCACCTTCGTACTTATCGATACATTAATGTGTCATACACAACGACAATCTCGCGATGCTTTTATCTGATAACGCGGGAACGCGCATTAATTCGAAATGTTAAGCGAAGTAAACTCTACTGTGAGTAATATCAGAGATACATGGATGTGACCTGCCTTAGAAAAATTCAAAATTTAATTTGAAGAAACAGCTGCGTGCGCTTAGAAATTCTGAATTAAATGAACGAACAATTTTACACTTCAATTTTTCTTCCTATCTCTTTAGTGGCTGTTTTGTTGTATATAAAATATTTTATAATTCAAATATCGTAAACGCTTCTCGCAGTAGGCACAAAAGGAAATAGTAAAAACAATATAACATTTATTTCCGCTTTTTCGAATAGCGATTAAAAATCCTTCACGTGACAAGAGCGCAACGAAAGAAGAAACAATTGGAAATGGCAGCTCTGTTCTATCCCCTTTAAAAACCACGTGGCGGAATGTCACTGTTAAATCCCGCGATTGCAGTTCGGATATTCAAACGAGGCTGCCCTTCGGAATCTCATTTCGGCGGCCATGACCGACTCGCCGTGGCCGATTCCGGCGTTTGTCAGGCGAAAAGCGCAAAATTTTAACGGGGCCGACGAGCGATGACCGAAGCTGCGGGTATCTCCCTGCCTCTCTCAAAGTCTTTCATCTCGCCGGCAGAAGGCGCCGCCATCGTGGACCTCGCTGATAAACAGCTCATGCTACATACGACAAAGAGACGCGAGCCGTCGCGACGAAGCAAACGAGGTGCCTCCGGCGCGCTATTCTCACGTGTGTTTGCGCGCGTTTCCGGCCGCAGTTGGTAGCGCGAACACGAGGAATAATACGACTGAACGGTGAATCGCCGTGAGCGTTTGACCGCCGAGGACCGGGGCGTGAGACCGAGGGAAAAATCAGGGCGTGTTTCGTGCGGCAGTAGCCGCGCCGCCGCTCAAGCAGCAGGTAAGGATCCCGTGTGTAAAGTGCGTGCGTGCGTGCGCATGGCGAACACGTGGCGTCGCGACGGCGCGTCGCGGACGCGACGCGCGCGTCGACGTCCCGCGTCGACGCGGCTCCATTTTCCCAGGCGCCGTGGCCGGCTGACAGCCAGAGCGTTTAGCCGACGATCGACATGTCGACCGAGCCAAGGCCGCGGAGGACATGTTTGCCGCGCCAAGTCGATCGCTCGAAATGACCCGCGCGAGATTTCCCGCTCGCGTTCGAACGCGAGCCCCGAACGAGCGGCCACCGGTGGAAAGAGGTCGAAAAGGGGGATGAAAGGGGGGAAAAGCCGGGGATTTTGTCACGCGCGGGCGCGGCGGAGACATCGAGCGGACCTCGCTTCACTCCGCTCGCCTGCTGTTCGTTTTCTGTTATATAAGGATCACGCTCTGCGAATGTGCAATCTTGGACGCCATCTTAAACGAGCGGTGCGAATTTGTGCCGGAATTCGAATGCGCTGCGTCCGCAGAAACTCGCCGAATCGGCGCGGCGTTGCGCGAAACGTAACGCGGAGGCGGAGTTTGTATAATTTCTTTTCTTTTCAACAAGGGGGTTTAATTCAATTAGCCACTTGATTTGCTGTAATCGCGGAAGGATGGACAGTGCGTCGATCTGTGTTTTTTCCGCTTGTCACAAACGATAAATAATCCCCCCTCTCTCTCTCTCTCTTTCTCCCGTGAATTTTAATCAGTTTTCTTTTCGCGTCTTACTTTATGCTGGAAACGATTTGAACGACGCGTCGTTCAAATCGTTTCCACGTCGTGACTAATTAAATCGACGCACACTCTGCGACAATCGTCGCAGAAAAACATAGGCCGTAATAAAACTATTCTGGTAAACAGATTAGATTATAAACCGATAACAGCGGTTTTTTATTGCATGTGACGTGGAAGACCGTCATAGAAATCATAAAGTTTTCTTAAAACCAGAAGATAAATCGAATTCAAGTATTTCTCACGTGTGCACGTCGTATCTCGTGAAGAAATGCAGCAATGAATATCTGCATTACGAAGGACAGAGTCAGCCCTATAAGTTGTTTTCGTTGAACATCTAAATTTTGGCGATAAAAAAAAACAGTGGCTTCTTTCAGCCGGGTAACATTTCCCGGATCTTGAATAGTGGAAAGTTTCCACAATTTCTCAGCTCGGATACGGAAGACGCGTATTATTACGGTATCACGTTATCAGCTATCAGATGGCTGATATATCGTGCGAAGTGGGTCTCTCGGCGGAGTAGCAGCTGCACCGTGTCGCTCGCGCGTGCGCGGTTTTCACGGAAAATGGTGATTTTGCGTAAGAATTGGCGATTCTTGCGGTTATTATTTATCAATCGCGTGTGACGCGGCCGCACATCGCGCCTCGGCTTTCCTGCAATTCTGTAAACCGCACGCGGGAATATAATGAGTTACACAACCGAAAGACCTTTACGCAGGAATTCACTTACGCGGCGAGGAGGGAAAAAATAATATAAATTAATGGGCGGCCATGGCTGGTTTATTAATTCATATTATTTCTTATCTCGAGTCCTCTCTTCGCAAGCCGTGTAATTCTTGATATTTATTCAGAAGTATTTACGCCTCTCCTCGCCGTATCTCTCGCGCGTCTCATGCGTTTGAAGAATATATTTGCTGGAACTTTAAACAGAGTGTTCGCGCCGAGATCGGATAAAATTTTCTTTGACGAAGATACGATTCGTTGTAATAAACGGCCGTGTTATCTTTACTGCGATCAGACGCTGACGGCGTCAAGTACGACAGCGTACGCTTACGCGCAGTCGAAATTAAAGGAAACTTTGGCTCGAACTTCGGACTTTTTAACGCGACGCCTTGTTCCTCGTGCAAACAGCGACGCCGTACAATTGCGCCTAACTCCGACAATCGATCCGACCGTGGCCCAAGTTGACAGCAATTTAAAATCGCTTCTGTTCCTTCGCAAGAAGATGTCCCGCGGGCTAATTCCGATTAGGGTCCATCCGGCGCCCCGGCGGAAGGATCATCTCCGCGCCGTGCCTTCTTACTTTCGCCGGAACCCCACCGATATTTTACGATCGTGACGCACGAAAGTGTCCTTAAGGCACCTCTCGCAATCGTTTTTGATATTTCGAGCTATTCCAATGTCGATCATTGACCTTGTTCTCGTCACATTTCACAACGTAATTTACCTTCCTATATCAAAAATCTGTGCTCGACGATTTAGATACTGAATGGCAAGTGTCATGGTAAAAATAAGTTTACGGCGCCAAAGAGAACCTTGCGCTTGTTGACATCTCATTCTTCTCTGTGCTTGACGTACTTACACTTAAAAATTACAAAATATAACTTGAAAGCTGAATGACGGATTTACGAACGTCGCGTAAAGGAAATAATGGCGAAAAAAATAATGTCAGTGAGGTAAAGAGATAGCGGAAAACGTTTCTCAGCGTAACGCTCGGCAGAGCGGTGTCTCGCAAATATCATCGCCCCGAGGAATCTTCTAACGATAAGTGAAGGCAGCGTCTTTTCAGGGTGGACGATGACGTCGCCGAAGAGAGTCAAGGCATGCAAGATGGAGAGCGCTGGAAGAAGCTGGACGGCGAGACCAATTCTAGGCACGGATTTCACGGAAGCCTGTCCGCTGCAAGAGGTCTACGTGGGCGTCTTGAAGCAACGGAAGGACACGTCCACCGCGATCAAAAGCATATCTGCCGCTCTCCCTGGATTCGCTCACCTGAAGCGCTGTTCCAACGGGAAATTACTTCTGGCCCCGCTTCGCTCGGACGAATCGTCGGGTGAGAAAGGCCACGACATTTCTCTCGGTGAAAATCAACTGAAGGCTCGGCTGAAGGAGAGAGGATTCGATCTCTCGTTATTGGAGGAGAAATTCGAGGTGACAAAGGTGCCGGCCAAAGCGCCAAAGACAAAGTTACAGGCCAGTGAAGCTTCGAAGGTCTGGCCGGTAAACTTCCATCCTGACCAGACGATTGAGAGCCTGATCGACGGCTCGATTTTCGACGAGGATTGTTTGAACGCGATCGAACGAATCATGTCGCTGGTAATGGAAGCTGCGAGGTTGGAGACAGTCGGCGACGAGCGCTGCACCGGTGCCGCGGCGATTGTCGATCCCGAGGACGGAAGAATCCTGGCGGTGGCTGCCGCGAGAATCGATAGACACCCCATGTGGCACGCCGCTATGCTGGCGGTGGATCTCGTTGCCAGACTTCACGGTGGCGGTGCGTGGAAATTGAGCGACGAGGAATGCAAAGGAACGAAGGGACAAGCGGAAGCTATCGACGAGGAAGACGACGGAGGGCCAGATTCGAGCGCCGCGACTGAAGATCAGAGCCTGAAGAGGCTTCGACGGATCAAGAGAAGATACGAGGAAGACGCACCGCTCTGCTATCCGAGATCTCTAGCCTCGCTGCAGTTGCCGGCACAAACGTCCCTCGAGACGCAAGTCGTGCGGAAAGGACGAAGGAACAACGGTGCCAAGATGGAGAGCTCGCAGCAGAAGGAATGCGAAGATAACACGAGGAAATGCGGACCGTATCTCTGCACCGGTTATTGGGCATTTCTGCTGATGGAACCGTGTCCTCTGTGCGCTATGGCGTTGCTGCATTCCAGAGTCGCGCGGATTTTCTACGGCACCGCCAACCGGAGTGCCGGGGTTTTGGGCTCCCGGGCGATTTTGCATACGGTGCCAGGTTTAAACCATCGATACCGGGTCTGGAGCGGAATCCTGGAACGGGAGTGCCGACAGGCGCTGGAGGAAATCAATGCTCGTAGAAGCCGCGGCTAAACGAGGCGGTTCTATTGTGGCAGATAATAACGTTCTAAGTGGCTACTGGCAATTAGTCATCGCGGTCTCGGGAACTGAAGATATTGATGCGAAACCAGACAAAACAGAAAGACAAACAGTAGCGAGGCGTATATTTTGTCGTTGACGTCCCCTGCTCGTTTTCACTGATGACTTCTCGTGCGAATTGCGTTATCTACGCGCACGGGTGACATTATAATGACATTTTTGTGATACGTTATCTCACTTGCATAACACGTTGTGCACATTCGTGTCATAAAGAAGTAAATCCCTTCCAACAGAAGGAACCGCAATTGTGATATCCATTGATATGTCACGTCCGACTCGATACCCTCGCAGCACTTTTTTCTCGCGATATTGTTCCGAAGGGACAATCGGAGTAACTTCTTGGTAGGAAATTGTTTGGACAAATAAATGATTTCCTATATCTATCAACGGATTATTTCTTGAACCATCGGTCAGCACAGCAACAACTTAGATACCTGCATGCTATAACCGGTTTTATAATTTCAATCGAAAGCAACACGGCGCAAAAGACTACACATGGTACGGACGTGCATTCGGCCATAATGAGTCTCGGTATATGCGTGACCTTGACGCGTGCATGTGCGTCCGCATCTGCTGTCTCTTCTTGGTGTGCACGGCGGATTAACACTTGTGTTTGCCGACACACACGGCGTGACGTTCGATCATTCCCCGAAGATTGTAAAAATCATTTCTGTATATTCTTTCGTCTTTCGTTTTCGATAACGCAGTGTAGCCTCCGGTGCAAAGCAGGATCTTGAGATGTTCGAGTCATAGTCAAAATATTTATTTTACATTTCTTACAGCCTACTTCAACGGAGAGAACTCGATTTTTTATTAACTAGACTACTAGCTGCTCTTCGACCAATTTCTCAGTCATTACTGTATTGCCAAATGGTCCGCCTACATTTTGCTTCTTCATTGCATTATTAACCTTTTCCGCGGGTTTATCTGCCCATAGTAGACGAAGACAGGCCCGAACGTCGCGCCTCAATGTTCGATAGCACAATTCATTTTGCGCGCATAATCGTAAATCATCGGTATGATTTATACGCGCTTAACTCCATGCTTCGTGTCGTGACGACATATCGTTTAATTCAGAAGCAAATAATCATGTTTCTCCGCGACAATAATATACAATCTTATTTGCCGGTTATTTTTCTCTCGCACGGATTTCCCAGGCACGTTCGTCGCAGTTATCTCGCAACGAGAGGTGCTGATAATGAGCAGAGTTCGACGGCGAATTTGTCAAAACGCTTGTAGCGTAGATAACCAAGTTGTAAGACACCTGGTATAATGCTATAACATAAAAGGTATGTAATGTTATCGGTGCGCCGATAAAATTCTGCGGATTTTACGAATGTTGTCGTTCGATTTAATTACGCACAGTTCGATCGATAATACGGTTTGATGACACTTGAGAGCACACGACGCAGTCTGTGGAAGATGATAATTAATTAATTAAGAGCCATTTGTTTGACATTATTGCGTCAGTGACTAACACGCACCTTATAAATGGATATTACGCATTTTCGAATTATATGTCAAGTAGAAATAGTTTGACTAGAAACATACATTATGCTAATTATATTTTTCTTATTTGCGTAAATGAGAGTCGGGCGATTTTATTTTAAATTCTTGACATTAACTAAAATTACAATAAAATTAAACCACGTATACACTTGAGGAAATACCCCATTATATACATATATTGTACAAAGAATTTTGCCTTACAAATTTAAATAATTAGAAATAATAAATAATCTTTCGTCGTAAAAATAGCAAAATATTTAAACGTTGAACATAGATGTAACAGTTTGCAACTGGTGTTACGATTTCACGTGAAATTTTTAGGCTTTTGTAATTTCTAACAACAGTTGAAGACAATTCTCGTAGATCGATCCCCTGCGGTCGGGGATTTTCGCGTTAAATAAAAAGTGACGCTGCTCATCGCGCACAACTTTGTTTGTTACGAGTCAGGTCGTGACTCGTTATGATAAGCTTGTCAGACGAACTGAAGCGATCGCCATGGTCGTTGATCTGGAAGAAACACGGATGCAAAGTACATCTACAAAACAACGTTACATCTACAACAGGAGAGGTTTTAATTGGGCGGTTGATTAAAAATATTGTTGGACGATCCAATTTCTTCGCTAAGTGGGATTATTATTTTAGTGCATATTTTATAGAATTAAATTTCCCCCGGATCGTGCTGTAGATCTTGCAGCAAGAATTTTAGATAAAAATCTTACAATATCGCGAAAGAAAAATATCCAGGAACTGTAAATTTTGGAAAAATTATATGCCTACGGAAATAAGAAGAAATACTGTCTCCAGTGCGCCTACTTTATCGACAACATGAAAACTATGTCACGCTAATGGAGATAACCGTCTTTTTCTATAAAACATCTACAGAGTCGAGATTTTTTTCTTAGCCAATGCGCGAGCATATTTGCGTTCTAGGAATTGCTTGAGTCGCTATGAAGCGAATAGCGAGTACGCGATGGTGACCCTGCGGATTGACATCGATCAACGAAACTACAGCTGATCCATTCCGGAGGAGAGTCGCGCGATTGTTCATGAAAAGAGAAGAGGATAGAGCGAGAGAGGTGGACGTGATGCATGAAAAAGTCGTGAACCGCAAATTATTACGAGGAAGGCGTTATCGTGTTTATCTAAGAGCCGATGAGGAGAGTCGGTCGCAGAACGACGAACGATAATTCTACAACGAAAAAATTCATACGTTTTATAGAGGCTTTTGAAGGGGCTTCGAATTGCATTTGATACGTCGTGTATACAACGTATTATATTAGTCTTCATGGCTTCCGGATGGTTGCCGCGTCCGTTTGCAGTGTGGTGCCGACGTTTCGCAGGCGTTGCAGTCTGCTTCATCAGGGCTGGGAGACTCTGATACTGTATCAG